TTCATTGCCATATTCAGTTTCGGGCAAATCGGAGGCCGTTTGTGGAAGTTACAGTCAAATGTAAGGTCATGGCGTCACGCCAGCATTCACCATGGCATCAAAGCCCCTCCCTTTCTGGAAAGCTATCAGATCTGAATGGTCTTTAAAACATCATGAAGACACTGTATGACCTGAGTGTCATTTTCATTAAATTAGAGGGGACAAATATGGGCATTTCACCATAAAACAATAGACTTCCTGTTGTCAGGGGGCGGGGCTTAGGTGATGTCAGCTGTCCACATTGTCGTTGTCTTGAGATGTGGTCAGTGATCACACAGACAAAGTTTGAATTAGATCTGATCATGCACATGGGAGTTATTAAGTCAAGTAATGTCATGGCGAAAGGTCAAAGTTTGAGGCTTAGCCACGCCCACACCTTTATACTTATTTAAAATCCGACGGTTGAATTTTTTCCCCTTTGACTTAAAAGTACATAGCATAAGTTTGAAGGTGATCGGTGTAAAGGGCAACGGGCCATCAATGTCCAAACAACGTGTGCGAAAACCACTAAATCGAGTACTTGGACCAAAATGGCCGACCTCCTGTGCGAAATTGCGCTTGGCTCCAAGAGACTTTTTTGTAGGGCCAGAGACCCTACATGAGTGTACCAATTTTCGTAATCCTCAGTCAAACCTTGTCTTGGGGCTGACAGTTTTAATGGTCCTAGGGGGCGCTATTTCAGAATATAGGCCACGCCCACAAATCTCAGATGCCCATTTCTATTGGGGGTCAGACTAGGATCACTCACCAGACATTTTGTGGCGATGTCACGATAATTGAAGAAATGAGAGGCAAACGTATTGCCATGGCGTGATGGCGAATTTCGCCATGCTCCCAAAGCCCCGCCTTTTTTCAAAACCTGCCAGTACTGTAGACCAAGTGACCTCAACTTGTCAGCTGCTATTTACCAGAGATTCCAGGTGATTGGGTAAAAGGAGTCCAATAGGGAGCTGTGAAAAAAAGAGTGGCGTGGCGAAAGGTCAAAGTTTGAGGCTTAGCCACGCCCACACCTTTATACTTATTTAAAATCCGACGGTTGAATTTTTTCCTCTATGTCTTAAGAGTATATAGCAGAAGCTCGAAGGCGATTGGTGAAAAGGGCGACGGAGCATCACTCTCCAAACAACGTGTGTGAAAACCACTAAATCGCGCACTTGGACCAAAATGGCCGACTTCCTGTGCGACTTTGCACTTGGCTCCAAGAGACTTTTTTGTAGGTCCTGAGACACCACATTAGTGTACCAAATTTCGTAATCCTCAGTCAAAGCATGGCTTGGGGCTGACAGTTTTAATGGTCCTAGGGGGCGCTAATACAGAAAATAGGCCACGCCCACAAACTTAAGCTGACCTTTTCTATTGGGGGTCAGACTAGGATCACTCACAACAATGGTCGAGGTGATATCACGATAAATGAAGAAATGAGAGGCAAACGTATTTCCATGGCGTGATGGCGAATTTCGCCATGCTCCCAAAGCCCCGCCTTTTTTCAAAACCTTCCAGTACTGGAGACCAAGTGACCTCAATTTGCCTGCTGCTATTTACCAGAGATTCCTGGTGATTGGGTAAAAGAAGTCCAATAAGGAGCTGTGAAAAAAAGAGTGGCGTGGCGAAAGGTCAAAGTTTGAGGCTTAGCCACGCCCACACCTTTATACTTATTTAAAATCCGACGGTTGAATTTTTTCCTCTATGTCTTAAGACTATATAGCAGAAGTTTGAAAGTGATTGGTGAAAAGGGCGACGGAGTATCACTCTCCAAACAACGTGTGTGAAAACCACTAAATCGCGCACTTGGACCAAAATGGCCGACTTCCTGTGCGACTTTGCACTTGGCTCCAAGAGACTTTTTTGTAGGTCCTGAGACACCACATTAGTGTACCAAATTTCGTAATCCTCAGTCAAAGCATGGCTTGGGGCTGACAGTTTTAATGGTCCTAGGGGGCGCTATTTCAGAAAATAGGCCACGCCCACCAGATGTTCACACCAGATCTTTTGGGGGGCCGGACTAGGATCACTCACAAGAAGTTTCGTGACGATATCTTTGGAAATGACGAAATGGGAGGCAAACGTAAGGCCACGGCGGTACGCCTGAATTCGCCGCGCCGCCACAGCCCCGCCCTCTGCCGAAAACTCCCATAAAGTGACGCCAAGCAACCCCCACTTGTCTTGAGTTACCAGCTACAAATTTGTGGTGATTAAGTGAAATGGGGCAATTTGGGACCTTTCACAGTAAAACTTGATCTTTTTGGTCCTGAGGGGGCGGGGCTTGTGTGATGTCATCATCCGACCATTCAATTTACTTTGTGGGTGGATGACGAATGACCACAGAAGTTTGGTAACTCTATTCCATTCAGTTATGAAGTTATAGCAATTTAAATATTTTTGGCGAGTAGTCAAACTTCGAGGCCTGGCCCCGCCCCTTCAACATATACGAAAACTCAGAATTCTCATCTCATTTTGTTCGCCCATCCCTTCTTAGCAATTTTACACAATTTTTGAGACGATCGTGCGAAAAATGATCGAGCAATCCAATCAGGAACGGACCCTAAAAACGGCAAAAACTGCAAAAAATCGCCATTTCAACCCAAAATGGCCGACTTCCTGTTTGATATTGACCATGGTTGCAAGAGACTTTTCTGTGCGGACTGTTGAGTACTACAAGTGTACCAAATTTCATAACTGTACGATAAACTAAGCTTTATGGAGAGGGCTTTTTTTCACTTTCTAGGGGGCGCTGTTCAGCCAATTTCTTTGCGATTTTTTTGGGACCTTTAAAATATCAAATTTTTCACCAGGCCTGACAAGTTTGCAAAATATTGTGAGTTTTGGGGTATGTTAAGGTCCCCAAAAAGCCGTTCAAAGCGGGCTAAGAATAATAAAAAATAATAATAAACAGAGCAAAAACAAGAGGCCTTCGCAGCGCTTTGCTGCTCGGGCCTAATAATCAGAGCAAAAACAAGAGGCCTTCGCAGCGCTTTCGCTGCTCGGGCCTAATAATAATCAGAGCAAAAACAAGAGGCCTTCGCAGCGCTTTCGCTGCTCGGGCCTAATAAATATGCAGCAATGATATAAGGTACAAAACGTCCACAAGCTCTGAAACACCAATAGGGCAACTGATTCAGAACTTCAGATTGTTTCTTGGTCAGCGTGTAGATTAAAAAGAGGAGGATTAAGGTTTGAATCTGATCCCTAGGTAGTTTCACAGGAAGTCCACCCTTGGATACATGACCAAACATCTCATATGTGGACCAGGACAACTTAGACTCTAACCACTATAAGGAGGAGGAATCAGGGAAGTGAAAGTTAAGATAACTTAGCAACGTAATAATGTTTAAAAACCATTCATTTTCACCTTTTAGTTTTCACCCGACTATGTTCTTGAGATAAGATGAAGAACATCATCAAGGAATTAAAGAAGTCACCTGTCTTTGTGTCTCCTGTTGAAATGAACTAACTCAGTGCGTTTGCATGTGCATCTAAATCGATCTAGGCCGGTCTAAAGGAATAAACTGGGGGCCTTTATCCTAGTTTACATGTACATTAGGAAACCACACTGTCAAATGAAGTTTGTTCCACTCCAGTACAGTAGGTGGCGACATGCACCCTTTCATGTCGGCATTCTTCCGGCTAGCTTCTAGCAACGCAAACAGTAGACAAACGATGGCAGGAGTGAAGCGGACAAAATTAAAACAATGGTACATTCAGCTGAAGCCGTGTTCCTACCACATCATCTGGGGGCTTCAGCGCAATCAGGACCAGTTCCACTCCAGCAAGACTAACGCGTTTACACGCATAAAAAATAACGTCAGTCTATTTAGGGCAATAGTTTGGTTTTCTGGTGCGCATGTAACACACCGACTAAAACAAAGTAGTCTCAAAAGTAAAAATGGGACTACAATACAAGGTTTCTATTTTAATTCAACAACCCAAATATTTAGCCAATTCACGAAGAAGTCTCTGAAATATCTCAGATCATTCACAAAGATTCTCAATTTCCTCACACAAGATTCGTTGTGTCACAATTCCAAAAATGTATTTTGAGACAGTCTCAGAGACGTCAGATGCATTTGTCTCGAACCCTTCTCGATTAAGTTGCCTTTGGTCAGAAAGTGCAAAAAACTACGCGGTGACTATTTGGAGACCATAAAGAGAAGGTTACATTTCAGGCAAGTCTAATTTGCTAATTAGATTAGGACAGATGATAAGAAGTGTAACCAAAATTTGACAATAAAATGGAACAACTGCATAATTAATCGTAGGGACAATTTCTTTTGACCGATCTGATTTAAATTAAAATATATGATGTCAGAGGCGCTAAAGGGGCCATGCATGCATTCAGAGTGGCTGAAGTCTAAACTAAACCTGACTTTGATTAAAGATCTCACAGCAAAGCATGAATCTGTGAAGTACTTTCATCGTCCGGTGGGTAGACTGACTCCATCAAAGCTCCAAACTGCTGTAGAAAAGCCTTCATCACCAGACTAACCATCCACACCAGCTTCAGTTGGGCTGGTTGGTGTGTACTCCATTCAGCCTCTAATTGATATAAGTTCACCGGGGGACCGGGAGCTCTGACCCTTCAGTGCATTAAGTGTTTAAGAGCAAAAACACTAAGCCTTAAAGTGTCATTCATCCTAAATGATCAAGTGTTCTTTTTAAGATCTTTTTGCTGAAATCCCTTCGCATGTTTGTGCCACACTGCAGTTCCACCGAGGATATTTCAGACAGCAAGCTATTCATATGCATATCAGCAATTAGGGGCTCTTATCCTATTCATTAAACATAATAGCAGCACATTATACCAGCGGCTAAAATTAACAATGGCACCTGTCCAACGCAAAGCCAGAGCACTCGACGTGCCAATCGAGTCACCCGTGCTGACACCAAGGTACGGAAAGCAGCAGAGCTCATTTTTCTCCAGATATGGTAGTGCAGAAGAGGGGAAAGGGTATATGTGAACGTACTTTCCCATCAAAGACCATCTGGTATCCTTCTCGGTCTTTGATCTTGTTGTAAAGGTACTCTGACAGCTCCAGACACTTGTCAATTTGAGCCTCGAAGCCTATGGTGCCCTGTGAAGAGAAGAGATTTGGACTTATTCTGGGGTTTGGGTGAAACACTTTCCTCCCGGCACCTGAAATCACCCATAATGACCCTTGTAAATGTATAATCGTTGTTAAATACTGTCACGTTGAGAGGATGGTAAGGACCCAAAATGCAGATCACCCAGATGACAAGAGGCAGGAGTTGGTATAAAAGTAAAATTCCTTTTATTTTTGAAGGAGGAACAAAAATAAATCCAAAAGGCAGAGAGCAAAAAGTCCTAAACTCCAAAAACCTGGTGACTGGAACCAAAGCTCACCAAGAGCACAAGAACTCGAGAAGGAGACGCTAAAGCTCACACAGAGCAACGAAACAACACTGACAAACAACAGTGTACCGACAAAACACAGAGACAAGACAGGGCTTAAATACACTGGGAGGAACAATTAGGGAAACAGGAAGCAGGTGTGTGGAGTGAGGGCTGGAGGGAAGGCGGGTGACAACAATTATCTAAATGGGGAAACAGAACCAGAGGAGGGCAGATACCTAAAACTATAAAACACAAAACTAAGGCCCTGTCCACACGTAGCCGGGGATCTGCCAAAACGTAGATATTTTTCTATGTTTTGGCCTGTCATCCACACGAAAACGGAGTTTTTTCACACGAAAACGGATCTTTTTAAAAACTCCGGCCAAAGTGAAGATCTGCGTTTTCTCCGTTTTGGGTGTCTGCGTGTGGACAGACAAAACCGGAGTTTTAAAGTCCGCAACGTCACTTTCCGCGACAAAAAAATGCTGACATCACGTGTGCGACCTGTGTTTATACTAGCCGACAGCATGGATGCCCTCAGAGCTGCGCTCACTTCATCAATTGTCCAAGCGCTGTTTGCTTGTTTGTTTTTGCAAGCGGAATTACTGCTCCTTGCGGAAGACCACAGATGAAGGACGAGGTTAAGAACGGGGGAAGTACTGCCGCCTACAGGTCTGGCATGTCCTTAACAACGTATTTATCCGGGTACGTGTGGACAGTTTTTTTTTAAACGAGGTGGTGTGGATGCAAGTTTTTGGAGGGGCGGATATTCGTTTTTTAAAAACCCGGCTACGTGTGGACTAGGCCTTAATCTAAAGACTGAGGGAAGGACTCTCACACACACACACACACACACACACACACACACACACACACACACACACACACACACACACACACACACACTGAGCAGGGGACAAAGAGGCTGGAGCTACAGCTGGAGGGCTGGGGATGACCGGCTACAAACAGAAGACACATAAATGAGACACAGACAAAAGACACATGAGGGCGCTATGAGACACAAAAGGGGAATCTAGAGAGGGATGGAGAAACATCAGGAGACACATGAGGGAAGACGCAGATGCAGACCATGACAAATACTGTGATAGGTGCAATCATTCCATATTTTCATTTATTTTCTATGATTCTCCAGTCATCACAATATTTCTGGTGCTTTAGCAGAGGTGAGACCAAGTCACAAATAAGTCTCAAGTGTCAAATCTGTATTTAGACACTTTCGTCCAAAGCGATGTCCGAATGAGGATGTGACATTGAGGCTAACAGACTACTTAGCAGGAAGACCACTAGTCTGATTCTGCCAGAAGTGAAAGAGCTGACCCTAACCCAGTAGAAACAGAGTGGAAACCGAGGTCTGGAGCATAATGTTTTGTTTTAACTTTCAGAACGCCTGAAACCAGGAAGGGCTACATCATGTACCGTGTGCAGGATGTTATGTTATTGAGGCCATGCAGAATGGGGACAGTGGCTTGGAAGTGTATGAGTCAGATTCTAGTGATGAAGAGGAGTGTGGAGAAATCTGTGACATGGACAAGGAAACTAAAATACTACCTAACTTCTGATGTTCACATTAACAGCGGCAGTGTACACTCCGGCCATGGACACGAGGACAGGAAACCGTGATTTACTGTCAGTAAAGGACCAAGGGGCAACTATCTGATGCATGGTCCTCAGCTGCCCTGAAAGCCATCCATCCATCCATTTTCTGGACAGACCAATTAACCTAACAGTCATGTTTTTGGACTGTGGGAGGAAGCCGGAGTACCCGGAGAGAACCCACGCATGCACAGGGAGAACATGCAAACTCCATGCAGAAAGATACCAGGCTGGGAAGCGAACCCAGGACCTTCTTGCTGCAAGGCAACAGCTCTAACCACTGCACCACTGCACCACTGCGCAGCCTGCCACGAAAGCCATAAATTCTAATCCACACCAACTAAGGGACGTTCCCATTAAAGCTGAAATGGTGCAGAAGCTATTCTAAAGGCTACATCAACGCAAAGTGCAACGTTATGGATTTGTACACACGGTCTGAATCCAGTGTCTTTAAATAGGACACTCATTTGGCAATGACATTGTTTTCATAAAAATTACTTGTATTACTGTTATACTATTATTGTTGGGTATATTATAGACGTCTGTGGGCCTTGACAAGCAGTAAATCACAAATAAACCTTTAATAGTTCCTTCCACGAGTGTCAGTGAGATCACGTTGCAATCACAACATTCCCCCCAAAAGTGACTGAAATGTAATAATTAAAAAATACATCTGATTTCTGCATCATAGTCTTGATAGAACAACAAAAGGTTGGACAATGATTAGCATTATTTCTACATGTGAATATAATAAACAAAGTTATTCAATATTGATTTAGTGATTTCAAGAACTCGGTTAGTGTGCACTTTTTTTTCCTTTTACAAAAATAGCTAAGTGTCTTATTTTGAAAACAAAAATCAATTGTGCAAAACATAGCAATTTTTTTTGTTGAGTTTCCATGTTGCAATAAAAACAGACCCCCTACCTTTGCTCTCCACATGAGCCACAGCTTAAAGATGTCCACATGGCGTCCACACTGCAACGCTTTGTCTCCCGTGTCGTAGGACAGGTCATAGTGTTTGTCCTGCTGGAACAGGTAGCAGGCGTGCATCTGGTTGCAGTTCTGCATCAAACCCTGTGGGGTCAAAAGGTTCTTCAGCATCACTTAGAGTCACAGGAACAGAAAAAAAAGAAGTCTATGAATCAGACTGTTGACCTCCTCTCGGACCAGCAGGGCAGAACACTGCAGGGGAACAGACATCATTTTGTGGGGGTTCCATGTGACAGAGTTGGCTCTGTGGCAAATGAAAAACATAGCATCATAATTCATGATGAAATTATAAATGTTTTCTATTTCTGTTTCAATTCAATTCAATTCAATTCAAAAATACTTTATTAATCCCAGAGGGAAATTGATTGATTCAGCCATAATTAAAAGAAACTTCATCATCATCATCGTTATTTATAAAAGCACCTTACAGACGTATATCATGTCACCAAGGTGCTGCACATGACTAAACTAAAAGGACAAAAACAAAGAATATGTAGGAACCCAATAAAAGAATTAATAATTAAAAACAGCAAAATACAAAACATCAGTTAACACACAGATTTAAAAGCCAGATTATAATAACGGGTCTTCAGCGCCTTCTTAAAACTTGCCTTTCGACTCCATCTAGCTTCCACCGGTGTCTCCCAGACATGAGCAGACTTCCTCCCCACGCTCCCTGAGACCACACACACACACACACACACACACACACACACACACACACACACACACACACTGAGTCTCATAAACAAAAAAATAGTCCATTATGAGAGCACACGCTAAAACCATCAGGTGTAATAAATCTTTAGAAGTTGATCGACAGGACCGTTTGCGTTCCCTAATAGAGGTGTCCCCTGTCAGGACTACCTCACCTCCATTATTAGACAGAGGAGGCCTGTGATGGTGGAGTCAGCGGGAGGAGATGATTTACAGCCTCTGCTCCAGTTTTTCTAATCTCCAGCGTTCGATAGGAAACGGCTGGCTCCCTATCTGGGTCGAGGCGTAATAGATTTGTCCGACTCCGTGTCTAGTGAGCTGTGTGGCTCCGCGCGTTCCTCCGCCAATGAGAGTAAGCAGATTCAGGGTCGGACTCACATCCACGTGCATCCAGACGTTGTACTTCCTGCAGATGTCGGAGATGGCGATGAGAGGGTCAAAGGCTCCGTACACTGTTGTTCCAGCTGTCGCGCTCACAAAGAAAGGAACAAAGCCCTGCACAAGGACAAGACAACACAGAGCTCATGGAGTCCCCTCATCATCATCATCATCATCATCATCATGGCCATAAAACCATCGCAGTATGAAGTCGGATCTATTTATAGCGAGGTTGTAAATGCTTTACCTTCTGTTTCGCCTCCAGTATTCTCCTCTCAAGGTCAGCAGGGATCAGTTTACCACTGCAAAGCGAACATAAACAAGCTGTTTGTGTGTTTACCTTGTCGGGACAAAACGATGCTCTACGATGGAAACAGGATGCAGAAAGAAACTGTTTTAGGTAGAACGCTCAACGTTAGAAAGGAAAGAGCAGTGATTGCCCTCTAGTTGGAAGGTTGTAGGTTCGAGCCCTGCTCAGTCTGTCACAGCCGTTGTGTCCTTGGGCAAGATGCTGCACCCCACCTTGCCCCTTGGTGGTTGGAGGCACTGGTGGCACCAGTATACGGCCGCCTCGCTTCCACCAGTGCACCTCAGAGCAGCTGTGGCTACACTGTAGCTCATCACCACCAGTGTGTGAATGTTTGTGTGCCTGGGTGAATGACTGGATGTGTTGTTAAAGAGCAAGTCACCCCCTACCAGAGTCTAACTCCACTCCCACTTCATGTTTGAAAAATGCAACAAATGCGTTGCATGGCAGACCGAGAGGGCGGAGCCGCTAACAAATACACACACACACACACAGACTCACAACAGCATTGTGACATCATAATGTACCAGTTTACATCATAGCATACCTCTTAGCCAATAGCGATGACAGATTTAAATTCAAATACAGTGTTTTCCCTGACGACGGCGCAACACTGACAGTTTTAGGCAGAATATTTAAATTTTAACTAAGATGCACTGAAGTGCCAAATTATTGACGACACGTGTCTGCAGCACGATTAGACACTCGTTTGTTTAGTTTATCAGCAAAAAAAGTAGATTTGGGGGTGACTTGCTCTTTAAGTGCCTTGGGGGGTTGTACAACCCTTGAAGGTGCTGTATAAATACAGGCCAGTTACCATTTTTACCACACAGAGCTGAAATCGTGTCTGTAGCTGCTGCAGTAAAATGTGTTTGTTCCCATTTTATTTGATTATACTCTTTAAAATCTAGTTTTAATTTATTTGCTGTGTTAGTGCCACCTTCTGGTATAAATAAGTTTTGCACTTTGAGAGATGATAAATTAAGAGGCACAGGCTGTTGGAGACTGAAAACACAGGTTGGAAAAAAGAACTATGGACAAAATAAAATGTGGTATAGTTAAAAAAGACATTCTGGACTGCAGTTGCTCAAAAGGTAGGCTTGTGTTTTTATTTGTTATATTTTTAAAATAAATGTGAAGCAAATGTCTAATTTTACACATAAAGTGTTTCCATACCCTAATTAAACTATTATTGTCCGTATTCTTATTAAATTAGTCTAAGAAGCAAGCTGATGAATATTGGATTAATAAGAAATAAAAACAGAAAAAGAAGACTATTCTGTCTAAAATAGAAATATAAAAATGACTAGATCTCTTACATTTAATTACAGGACATATAGGCCAATAATAAACTGTTCCACTTTTGAATTTTAGCTCGTGTTTTGTGTTATTTTTACACAACACTGTCTTTTACTACCAGACACAATTAATGCATCACAGTCACACTTTAGATGAATCCTTTTTGTTGTTGCTTCACACTGACGTGAAACTTCCTGATCATCTGAAAACCAGGTGATTGTTTTGTGAATAAACATGATGCTTGTGTGACTTTACCATTCATCTGCCTTGATACAGATCACACTCTCAGTCCCGATGCCCAGAGCAGCTGCCCCTTTCTTGATGGAGAAATGGCTCTGAAACACGACAGAGACAAAAAATAAAGAGAAATGGAGGAATAAATCAGTAAAAATGTGTTTAGATGGTTTATTGGTGTCATTTATTGGTGGTATTTCTTTCTTTCTTTTTTTATTTTTGCTCGAGCATCATTCAAACACCCTTTAAAGATGAAGGGGGTGACATTTAAAGTGACAAATGCACTCGTCACCCGGTGTCCTTCTGGGTTGGACAAACACAACGTTAGACACCCGACCCGGTGGAGGATAAATCAAGTAAAGCTGCAGCTGAGATGGGAGGAATTACATACAAAGATTTTCAGCGTTTGATCATTTATCTTCTGAGGCCTTACGTGTTCGGACGTGAAGGCCGCCAGTCGAGGAACGGATGACATCCCCTTCTCCTTCACTTCAGGGAACATCTTGAAGCGGGCTAAGAGCATGGCATACATGTTGGAGATAGCACCACCTGGAGGACACACAGAGGTTGTTACAGTCTCAAGGGATATGCATGGTGTCGAAATGTCCCCATGTTTGAAATAAAGACGCTGTAATAGCAATCTAGTGCCAGAAGAGATGAGATGCTGTCCATGATGTCAGAGCCAATCACCAGAGGAGGAGAAGAGGGAGGAGAGTGGGGAGGCCTCAGTAATAAAAGGAAATTATTTTATGCTAATTGTCCTTGAAACTGGTTCCATTTATATCGTCAAAATGCAAATGGAGACATCACAACACACTCAGTGTTCCACTCCCAGCTGGAGGTGGTGTGTGTGTGTGTGTGTGTGTGTGAGGCGGGTTCCTACCAGGGGAAAAGATGCCGTCTCCTCGGCCGTCAGGCCAGCCAATGATCTCCCTCATCTTTTTCAGGGTGACGTATTCCAGCAGCACGAAAACAGGAGCCACCTCATAAGTGAACCTGGAAGATGCATAATGAAGTTATGACTGAAAAAGCTGGTTTACAGTTTTCAGCAGCAGCTTTTGGACGTTAAAACGCTTGAAAAGTCTGAATGAGCCAGAGTGGGCTCAGAGGGTATGAACTCTCTGAGATGTTTCGTCTTTTAACCCTAAAATTAGAGAAAAATGCAATAAAACATTTGTATCTTCTATTCATTTGGGTGCAAAACACCAATGCATTAAATAATGATGAAGTAATTTCAATTGTCCATCCATCCATCATCCATTTTCTGAACCCGTGTAAATTGTTTACACTTTTATTCAAATATCTCCAGATTTTAAAGAATTTTTAAATGCATTAGTATTTTTTACATTATTCTGTAACTAAAACCACTCATGTAGGGAAATGATTGCTGCACATATTTAATTTCAGAAATCTTCCATAAAAAGCCCATTTTTCCATACATATTTATATTTTTACCACTCATTGGTCTTAGCCGCCTCTCTTCCAGCAGCCGTGAGTTTATCACCCTGAAAACACGCACTTAAAATTAGCTCCTGATTAGACTGAATGCAATTTCAGAGGTAATTTTCCTCCCCTTTGAATCCCAGTGGGGATCAGATGTGAAGGGGTGGGGGTGGGAGTAGTGCATTGTGGTTATCTAGGGAAAATAAAAAGCTGCTATCAGCCCAAACAGACGCGGACTGGGTGCACCGGAAATGGGATCCATTGTCATGGTTTTTAAATCAGCTGTGAGGATCCTGCTGAAGCAGCAGGGCCACGTACTCACATGTTGGTGTTGGCAGTGGATGTCAGCCAATCAGCTGCCAGTCCAACCATGTCTAATCCTGTGGAGAGCTGATTGAAGTACCTGGGGTGGGCTGAACGGGAGGAGAGATAGAAGAGGAGAAAAGAGGAGGAGGAGAAGACGAGGAAACTGTAATTTCAAGGCTTTATCAAGAAAAGGAGCAGAGCTGTCATTTTCCAAACGCTTTAATTAGAGTGCAGAAATGCAGCTGCAGCGATGCTTTGGTGAAAACATGTGAGGGTGAGTATTAAAGCACGCAAGAACTGCACCGATGATTTTAAAGAGGAATAAAAATTCACAGCATAAAGGAAATCTAATATAATAAAGCTGCATTTATAACGAAATTAATAAAATAGTTGCATTTTTTATAGAAGAGCTTGACATGTTTCCGTTGCTGTAAATTTCCTTCTGCACGTGTCACTCAGTGAGAATAATGGACTTGGCCTGTGCAGCCGGATTATTAGCCTATTATCTGCCGCCTGCTGAAGCTGATTTACTGCGCCACTGCGTTTATCGGTCTGGTGGCCATGCAGAAGGAAGGACGGCTTCCATGTTGATGCTCTTTTATCATTATGTTTTATTAATCCAATATAAATTACTGCGCATTTGAAATAGTTGCATGATTGTTGCGAAAAAAACATCTCAAAATTACATCAAAAACAAAAACAAACAAAAAAAGATGTCATGCTTTTATTTAAAATTTACTTTTCAGTTGCAAAATTATTGATTATGTCAAAAATACATGCAGCAGGCCTTCATTTGAACAATGCACCAGTGGGCTTTGCACCAATCAATTTGCGCATCTTTAGACGTGCATTTGAGAAAGCTGCACCTACCAGTTTTGATGGCGTATTTGAGAGTGGCGCGGCAGCTGATCAAGATGTCATCCAGGGTGGCGGGCTCGTCCTGCAGCTCCCAGTTGTTCAGCTGCAGCAGCTCGTTTGGATAATGAAAATCAATGACTTTCGTTTCCCGGTCGAAAGATTCAACTATGTACGCGAGAAGAAGGTCCACCACCTCCTGCAGGAAGGTCATCGTTTTGGTGTCACCGTCCAGGGCAGGTAACAGGTCTGGAAGAGGTGGGGGTGTCGTTTAAGGATGCAAAACAAATGTGTTTATTACTATTAATGGTTTTGTTTTCGTTTGTGTTAGAGAACCAAAACGCAGCTGAGTACTATTTGAGCTCATCAGATTCAAGGTGAAGGTGACCTCCAAGAGGAAATGATCACACTAAAAACAGAATGTAATTATTTGTTATACCACCACATATTCAGCTTGATTTCCTTGTGGAGCTTTAGGCCTGCAGGTACTTTTTTCTTTTACAAATAACCCAAATATTCACCTTTTAGCTTAGATAATAAAATACAACAGAGTATTTCTGTTTTAGACGAATCAGTAGCAAAATAGCATATTTTATTTTATTTTATTGCATAAAAACACATCGGAATCCGGTTTCTGTACCTGTTGAATAGAGGTCTGAGAAGACCACGTCGGGTTTGGTGCAGGTGCAAGGTTTGTTGCAGCCGCAGCTTCCTGCAGCAGTCTGCAGCGGCTGTTTGGCGGCCGGGTCGGCGGTTTTTTCCACCTCCCCGACGTTCAGCAGCGCTTTGGAGAAACACAAACCCTCCGCATTTTAAATAAATATAAAACAATAACTCAGAATGTGTATATGTGAATAAAATCATTCAATGAAACAGCGAAACGCTCCCATAATCAGTCTCATACCACATAATTTAGATCCAATTCCTCCGGATAATTTCTGGGCCGCCGCTTGGCACCAAGCCCTGGCTGCGAGGCAGACAGAAATAAGTCATGTACTTCTAGTTATTGGTCCAACTTAATGGTAAAAACATAGTAAAAACGCTGGAGCGCAAATAAAACAAGATAATAAAATCAGCACCAGGCCTGTCTGGATTTGGAGACAATAAAAAGAGAAAAGAGGACACTCACGCGTGCTGGGGCTCTGACTGCCGGTGTTGGTCCCCGCGTTATCCCCGCCGAGAGACCAGAACCCGTGTGAAGCCATCGCGGCTGGTAGTTAGGAGATGCGGGAGACACCGGAGACCGACAGAGCCCATTCAAACGCGCCGAGCGGGGAGCTGTTCGAAGCCGACGTGGTGCTGAACGTGACCGGACCTCGCTCCAGAATGTGGCACATCCGACACGCGCTTCAGCAAATAAACCCGAGTGGAAAAAACCCAAAGGCGTCCTCGGTGCTCCTTCTGCGGGCATCCACAGGTGCGCGGTGCATGAAGCTGCGTGTGCGCACAAAAAAATCCGCGAAAAAAAAGGACCCAAACAATCAGCGCACTCTTCAGAGCGCGCTGCACTTTTCTCCACTCAGCAGACACGCAATGAAAAATAAATAAATAAAAAAACTAGCGCTGATGAAGTTAATTATGAAGAGGTGATCACATTTAACTCAAAAACAGTTTGATGTGAACAGCAGCTACATGTGCAGCGCGCGTGTCGGGCCTGGGAATTTCACGTCAGCAGAAGAAATTCCATCGCGATTCACTTCAGGGTCATGACGTCGCGTCGTGCGTCGTGACTCCAAACACCCCCAACATTTTGTCCCTTGCGCGCTCCACGTCCTGCCTTCCATAGACACCGAATGCCAACTAGCTCATCTGCGGACCTTATTTCTGGGTTTACCGGCTGCTTTAATTGCCCGCCTCCGGGGATGCTGGGTGTGTGTGTGTGTGTGTGTGTGTGTGTGTGTGTGTGTGTGTGTGTGTGTGTGTGTGTGTGTGTGTGTGTGTGTGTGTGTGTGTGTGTGTGTGAGGGGGTGTTCGGGCCCCTCCTCCTCTGCTGGTGCGCGCATTGCTCCAAAAACACCGATTTTCAGGTTTTATTCTGGATGACTGGCCTGAAATGTATTTGAAAAGCAAAATAAAGTTTAATGTTTTATTATTTAAAATGAATCAACACAATCCAAGATGGCTGCTATGGTCAACTGGCGTGCAAACGCTGAATTAACCCAATAAGGTTCAACTGATTTTGCAGAAATTACTTTAAATCTGACAGTAACTGTCAGCAACGTAACGTCATCTGGTTCGCCAAAAATAAACCCTTTGGCCAGTAGCTGCAGAACAACGTCTATTTTATTATCAATGAATTTTCTTTCCAATTTATTTCCTCTGCAGTTTTTAAATTCAGCATCTGGAGCTCATCTATGGTCGTGTTTGTGTTCAACGTGCACCAAAGGGTTTACCACTGACAACCCCTGTGGGGGTGTTCCTCTTTTTAAAATGTCACATATAGGTCAGAGGTTGAACCTGAAGAGAAATCACTAGAGCTTGCATTGGATGAACATTATTATTATTATTATTATTATTATTATTATTATTATTATTAAATAAATCAACATAAATTCAGCTCTGTTGGGATTGTGATTATTGTAGGATGGGTGGTAAAAATATTGATTATTTTACCATAAATTCAACATATTTGGGAAAAAATGGGAATACAACATAATTTATTTATATTTAAATTTACAAATCAGATGTTACAATGAGGATAAAGATGTCTGACATCCAAAACTGATTTAAAAAAGAAAAAGAAAATGTATTAAAATGCAAAGAATTCAAGTATGACAGCATTGTCTGTAATTGTTTATGACCGAAGGGGGAAAAATGACAGATTTAATGAATGAGCTACAGTATGAATGAATAATTGAATTATTTACAATCTCCAAACTCAGCTATGATCAGTGATTTAACAGTTTCAGTTATACATTTGTGCTGTTGCATAAGCAACGTGATGGACATGCTTCTTCAGTAGTGTTTGATGAGCCTTCGTCTCTGAGAGGTCTTCCTCAGCAGATGCCTGAAGTCGTAAGGATTGTCACCACTTCGGCTTTCCATGGAGGACATTCTTGGAACGGAACGCCTGCTGGAGAATCAGAGGAGACAGTTGGGAATTCACCTCTAACACAGATGCAGACTAATAGTGCGATATTTACGGATGTAGAGACTTGGAATTGTGAGACAATACCTAAATCTTTAAAACCAATGACAAAAATGTTTTCTCTTTATTCCGACCCCCCAAGGTGCTTTACAACACAATCAGTCACACCTTGGTGGTGATGAGCTACATTGTAGCCACAGCTACCCTCAGGCACACTGAGAGAGGCGGGTCTGCCGCTCACAGATGCCACCAGTCCCTCCAAACACCACCAGCAGGCAAGGTGAGTTAAGTGTCTTGCCCAAGGACACAACGACAGTGACAGACTGAGCTCGAATCTGCAACTTTCAGATTACGTGCCACCGTTGCCCCAAGATGGCTTCTTTTAAATGGTAAATTGCCTGTATTTGATATAGCGCCTTCTAGAGTCCTGGAACCCCCCAAGCCGCTTTACAACACAATCAGTCATTCACACATTCACACACACATTCACACACACTGGTGGGGATGAGCTACAATGTAGCCACAGCTGCCCTGGGGCGCACTGACAGAGGCGAGGCTGCCGAGCACTGGTGCCACCGGTCCCTCCGACCACCACCAGCAGGCAAGGTGGGTTAAGTGTCTTGCCCAAGGACCAAGGGCGTCAGTTTGTTTTCAGAATTGCTGGGGACAATAAAGTAGGCTAAGATCTGAGCTGGTAAAACAAAAATCCTCATCAGCAGGCTTTTTTGAAAGTGGGGGGGGGGGACACAGCTGCCAATCACAAATTTTGCCGGGGACATGTCCCCGGCGTCCCCGGTTAAAATGACACCTATGCCAAGGACACAACGACAGCGACAGACTGAGCGGGGCTCAAACCTGCAACCTTCCGATTGTGGGGCGAGCACTTAACTCCTGTGCCACCGTCGCCCCAAGAAGTATACTGGTGAAGGTTCTCATTCACTAAGTTGTAGTAATCCAAAGGGCTTCTCCTAAAAGCAGCTGGACTTCTCACGTTTCGCTTCTCATCCGAGGAGCTTTGTCAATTCTGACTGGAAAATGTGAGTCAAGCCTATAAACTGTTGCTGTGTATTGTTGCTTAATGAGCAGAAACTACCTATGAATACCCCTCCCCCCACCCCTGAGGTTACATCAGAGTCATTAGGCTCTACTGTGTGGGGATGGTTGTGCAGGAGGGTGTGACCTATACTGAAACTGTTTTGAAATGCATCTAACCAATGGAACGATTCCCACATGATAGAGTCTAATGACTAAAACTACTCCTCAGGGGGTAGGGAGGAGGGGTATTCATAGGTAGTTTCAGCTCTTGAGGAAACAATAGACAGCTACAGTTTATAGGCTTGAATTGACAAAGCTCCTCGGATGAGAAGTGAAACGTCTTCAAGAAACCAAAGATGTCCAGTTGTTGTCATTCAAACCCTTCTGAATGACACAACAAGTACTTACCTGTTGTCTCTGGCGGGTCTGGAAGGCTCCGGTTCCGTTACAGCCCTCTCCCTTGCATGTCGAGTAGAGCCTGTGGACCGTCTTCTGCTCAAGGACTGTCTACTCTCCGCCGAGTGTCTCCTCTCAGGCATGTCTCCTGCTGTGTCTTCTGTGGTGATGGAGGATTCAGACCTGCTGGTGGACAGGGTGCGATAGTATTGATCATCCGCATCCAGCAGTTTTCCTGGACTAGAGCACAAACAGGAGGAATGCTGTTGAGGCTGATGTAAGGATTTTAGAGGTGAAACCCACATTAAGTTTGCTAATAAACCTTTCTGGACCTGTAGGTGGAGTTGTGGAGAAGGTAGAATCTGGCTTGGGGGTCATGAAGTAATTTGCCAAGTCTGAGACTGGAAAACGGTTTTTCAAGACAAGGAAGTTTAAATATCCTCGTGCCTTTCTTCATAATGTTAGGATGAGGCGAGAGATGAGCTGATGGACCAAAGGGGCCAATGGAGCTGCTTCATTGAAGCTCAGCCTAAGAGATAGGAGACATCCTATCTGCCCTTGGATTCCTCAGGAGGAGATACAGCAGGAAAAAGGGAGATCTGGGATTCTGGAGTTTAGATTACTGACTTTAAAGTTCATTGTTGCACCTCTGAGCACCGTTGGCAATAAAATGTGAAAAACTGGTTCATTTTCCATTATTCCTCCTCCTTTGTGACTTTATTCCCATTTACTGTGATTACCCCTTATGCTTCCCTCCGTATCGCCCAGGTTTTCCCATCTTCCTTCCTCCACTCCATCCAGCAACACCATTGTTCCTCCTGACCTTCTCGTCCTTAATGATGCGTGTAAGCTGCTCCTGTCCGTCGCTGGATTTATTTATCTGCTAACAAATTATTACCCTTGATGTTGACTGCAGTGGTGAAGCGTGTGTGTGTGTGTGTGTGTGTGTGTGTGTGTGTGTGTTTGTAGCTCTTTCAAACCGATGTGACAAAGTTCTATGGCCTCTTGCTTGTTCAGCCATATCTGTCCATGTTCACCTCCTCGCTCTGGGTGGTATACTCACCTTATGGTTTGAGCAGAAAATGCATATGCATGAACACACTCTCACTCACTCACACACACACACACACACACACACACACACGCGCACGCGCACACACACACACACACACATTCTCTCTCTCTCACACACACACGCCCACGCACAGACACACACACACACTCTCTCTCTCTCTCTCTCACACTCTCTCTCTCTCTCTCTCTCTCTCTCTCTCTCTCTCACTCTCACTCTCTCACTCTCTCACTCTCTCTCTCACTCTCACTCTCTCTCACACACACACACACACACACACACACACACACACACACACACACACACACACACACACACACACACACACACACACACACACACACACACACACACACACACACAAGATGATTACTTCAAAGTGATACAAACAAGGATGCTTGTGATGCTGCACATCATTAAGAAACAGTCTGGGGTCAGTACTCCAGACTAGCTATAAGACACCAAACCAAGCTCTTGAAAAAGGAAGTGATACGCCGTTAACATCAAGTAGAAAGCGTAACTGGACACTTACTCCTTCTTCCTGGGCTTTCGTTTGTCATCCTGGACAGATCTCTGAGTGGATGGAGATAGAAAAACACCTCATGAAACTGATGTCTGAGTTAAGATAGGACACAAAACCAACAGTTGCAGTTTGGATTCGATTAATAATGACCACAATACAAAGGCATTAGGTTACTTAACCCCATCCATTTGGTTTTGAATACGCTTTTCAGGTTTACGATAATGCATTTGGCTCACAGAAGTTAGGCAGCAAGCAACGCGTTGGGATCAAACCAGACGCCCTCTGATTATGCCCCGCTCTGCCTATAAGCCACTACTGCCTCATGTTGTTTGGAGAAACTTGGTCCTTTCTGCCGATGAAGTTTGAGTTTCTGTGCAAAAAATGTTATAAATATTTGCAGAAATAGCTTCTAGAGAGACCTCAGCTTGAAGAAATAATGTTGTGTCATTCATGGCAAATGAGCCAATGGCTAGTCAAAGCACAGCCATGACCTACTTAACATGAATTAGCAGAAATTATTGCAAATATTGTTCTACAAAACTTTAATTAATGTATTTTAAGGTTATTTGGAAAGAAATAAAGTGGGCATACAATCATTATTTTAATAAATCTGCAATGGTCTGTATTACAAATGAATGCATTGTGAGTCGTTTTCTGTGGAAAAATGCTCTGGCGCTCCTGTTTCTGGAAGTAGAAGTTAGTCGAAGGAATGGGAGACAGAGTCTTACTCATTAATAGTCATGATATGTGAACATCTCGCCTCTGATGGACTATGCAACTCTTCCGCTGCCTCCATTCACTTTTCTCTCTTGGATAAAAAATGAGGTTTAATCTCCACAAATAACAAAAGCTCGAATGAGTTTTGCCATGTTGTGGAGTTCCTGATGCTAATAGTTAGCTTCTGTTAGCTGAAACGTGCTCTGCTCTCTCCTGGCTGCAAAAATCAACACAGGTTTCTTCGTTGCAAGTCAAGATGGATGAATCCATGAATGCAAATTTATAACGTGTCATAACCTGTGTGGCTTTTTCTGACCCGAGCGTATCCACGACTATTTTCTGTTGGTGGCTAATGCATGAAATAGAGGTAGGAGACTATCTTAATGTTCAGCCTGCTTGTGAAACTCGGGATGAATGATCATTTTATTATACGTGTCCCTGAATGCACCTGAATTACAAACTGAAAATGTTACAAACAATCTAGAAATGATGCAGAAACTAAACTATTGACAAAAAAAAACGATCTTCCTTCAGAACTGTGGGAATGTGTGGAAATACCGAGAAGTTCTAACAAAAGAAAATGTAAATCAATTGTGAAGGCCACTAGCTTGGAAAGCAGTTGCTGTTTTCAAAAGTTTGTTGTAGACAGTCTCTAAAATCCCCATCTTTTACGGCGGCTCACATGAATGAGTGTGTAATAAGTGGAGTCCTCCGGTGTGTTTAGGGTCTTTGGCTGTTGGCTTCTGCGGGGGGTTCTGGAGAATCTCTTTTCAGCTGAAAAAGAAACAAATGGTTAGAAACATCAGGTGGCAGCTTTTACTGGCAGCTGAAGCTCTTGTTCTGTTTTATATGGTGCACATTTAGTCTAAAAAACATGCATTTCAGAGGGGAAAGTTATATCATGAGTAAAGAAAATACATTTCTGCAGTGTGACCGAACGAAACAGTATTTGCCTGCATCAAAGCTGCTGTGTGAGGGATTGTTAACCACTGAGAACATTGACTCTCTCGATGTATGCTGAGTTGTTCAGTTTTTGCTAGCTCAACTGAAGATTTTTGAGACTCTGGAGCTTGTAGTTGATTTAAGGTGTCTTCTGAGTGGTCAGTTCCTGTTCTTTCTCTCGCCCTCTCCCTGAAGCATGGTGATTTGTGCCAGATAGGGCAGACATAATATAACATATGTTCACACGATTTAAAACCAAGTAAACACAATGGTTTCCTCCCACAGACCAGTGTTGGCTAACCGAACTAACCGGAGCCTCAAATGGGCCATTCCCATCTGTACCGGGTCGGCCCGGGCCGGGTAGCGTAGGTTGTTTACATATCTGGGTGGGCTGGTATCTTTCCGGGCCAACCAAGGCTCATTCTCAGCCCTCTTCTCGAGGGGGTCTGCTTCAGGCCGACCAGGGCCAACACACCCACTGCTGACAGCAAATTCACACCTTCCATTAGAGCAAGCCTCTGATGGTGGGTAGAATCAGCCCACATGGGCTTAAGACAAGCATGTGTGGAATCAACCGGGCCAGGCTGGGGCCGACTGGGGCTACCCGGCCCGGGCCGACCCGGTACAGATGGGAATGGCCCATAAATTGTACCCAGGCCTGACTGGTTGTCTGTGTGTGAAATGGAGACACGCGCATTCTGTGAAGGTCCGTGAAACGTTTCGGTTGCAGAAACAGGCCCAAAAACTCTCAAGAAGATGGGCGCCAGCTCACTGTCACCCTACTGAGGAATACGTGGCTTAGAGGTCGAGCGAGTGAACGAGTCATCTCGCTTGCTGTAAAAACTCTAGTTTTGAGTTGAATCTGAAGATAACCGGTCTTTTAATTTAAGCAGAAACTTAACAGAGTTTTTTGATTTCTCGTCCATTTTTAAAAACGGCCTGCAGACCAAAATCTTATTAAATTATAATATATAATATAATATTAAATTATCTGAACATGATCTGACTTCATGAGTAAAGCATGGAGGGGGCCATCGTCTAGCACACTGCTGCTAACCACTTAAACATTCTCCCTCTCCTGATAATAACTTTGAGCTTTCCTTGACGTTGGATGTGCTACTACTAGTTTACCCGTTTAATTATAGATTCACTAGGATAAATACAATAAAGTTTATCTCTCACCTAATAGAATAATTACTAAGAAATCACAATGTAACCATAGAAACATTGCTTGGTGTGTGTGTGTGTGTGTGTGTGTGTGTGTGTGTGTGTGTGTGTGTGTGTGTGTGTGTGTGTGTGTGTGTGTGTGTGTGTGTGTGTGTGTGTGTGTGTGTGTGTGTGTGTGTGTGTGTGTGTGTGTGTGTGTGTGTGGTGGATGGCTGCTTATACTGATCCAGGATCCTCTGGAGGTTTCTTCCTGTTAAAAGGGAGTTTTCCTCTCCACTGTCGCTATATGGGGCAACAGTAGCTCAGGTGGTAGAGCGGGTTGCCTCATGATCGGAGGGTCATGGGTTCGATTCCAGCTCCCGCCAGGGGTATCCTGCTGTTGTGTCCTTGGGCAAGACACTTCACCCAACTTGCCTGTGTTAGTGGTGGTCAGAGGGGCCGACGGCGCCAAATGGCAGCCTCGCCTCTGTCAGACCTCCCCAGGGCGGCTGTGGCTACAAGTAGCTTACCATCACTGGCAGTGTGTGAATGTGTGAAAGCGTCTTTGGGTGTCTAGAAAAGCGCTATATAAGTTCAATGCATTATTATTATTATCATTATATGCTTGCTTAGTATGAGGATTGCTGTAAAGTCACTGACACTAGTCAGTGACTTGATGCAATTTGCTGGGTTCCTTATATAGGAAACATTTTTTCTGATTGGCTTAATGAACTGACCTGAATTGGAATGTTTATTATGTGACGTACCTTGAGACGACTCGTCGTGATTTGGCGCTATATAAATAAAATGAAATTCTATTGAATGAATCTATAAATGTAAAACAGGCAGACTCCCTTACTGAGTATAAATCTCGCCTGAAGACTCACCCTTTTTCTGTGGACTTCCATTGAAGTGGTTGGTTTTCATTACGACTTTTACAAGGTTGCTGTAAACTGTACTATTTCTTTCTTTCATACATGTTTTTATTGGACAGCACTTTGGTACATGTTGTTTTTTGTTAGTACTTTATAAATAAATTGGACTGGATTGGACAAAGTGAATAAATCAAGCCAGAACTCAGGTTTTGTTTGAACTGTTGCAATAATATGGAAGATTTTGTCTAGTCGATAGTAGGATTTCCTTTTTTTTAACCAGGCTGACTGAATTACCGGAATGACGTTATCAATCATCCGTGCTGTGTGCAGAGATGTGTGTTTTAACAAGCTGCCCGGTAGCCTCATGTGTTGCAATCCATCATAATTTTCACGAGTGATCCACTGGGCAATATCTTTCATCTATGTTATTGCAATTATAAACATATTAGAGTGACCTTTACCTGTAGGTCGTTATTAATGCTCACACTGATGGAGAACAATCGTGTGCAGAAGCTCTCGTGTAAAGAAGATGAAACGTGTCAAACGTTATTGAACAACTCCGTCTAAAAGGTCGTTCTCCTTCTGCACCAAGTAGAGCTAATTTTACACACAGTCATATTAACTCCTGCCATAATTGTTGGCTTACAAAACATGATTAACATTTGATGACCTTTTCTATGAAGAGAAATGTGCCCGACGTTCCCTCGCTTTCACTGCGTGTGGCCAAAAGGATTCTGGTTTTGTTTTTGTGAAACTTCAAAAGGACATTTTAGCTCTGTCTCTGTTAGACTGAATGAATGTTCCAGAAGTTGTGCCAGCCCCGGGAAATATCATTGATAATTCAATTTGTTTACCTTCAGGCAATGTGCTGTGCTGGAAAAATGCCTGTAAAGGGCAAACGTGCCTGAAATAAAGCGACGTTTGCTGTGATGTCTACTTCATGTAGAGCAAGAAAGCTGCACGTTAGCTTAGCCTCGCCCAAGAAAGAAAAAATAAATAGTGACGCCACTTTATAAACAATACACAAATGTGACTTCAAAGCTCGATTGTGTGAAATTCATTGTGATTCTGTGCTTAAAGTCAACAGAAACATGCAGAATTTCTGCAGACGTGGACAGAATTGTTGGTGCCCTTCGGTCAATGAAAGAAAAATCCACAATAGTCATAGCCTAGTGAACTAGACCAAATTCTTGCTTTGCAAAGAATGGTCTAGGCACGCTCCATTGGAACCGCCACAGCTCCTACCAGGACTCTGGCTAGCCAATCACAGCTTTCTAGAGGGGTTTCAAACAAATAAAGAGCTGTGATTGGTCCATAATGGTGGGCCAATCATAGTGCTCTATCTGCTTGGTGAACAAATCACAGAGCTTTATCTGCTTTGTGGGCCAATCAGAGCACTCTATATGCCTGGTGGGTGGGATGATGCAACAGAGTGAAACAAGAGTATGTCACATTCAGTGTTGCCAGATAATTATCGTATTTGTACCATAATTTTGGGCTCTGTACGATGTACGATCAATAGTTTCAAAAATCCTCAAATGTACGATAATTTCACATTGCATCTAGTAACACCGTCTTTTGCTGTGGCTTTCCCAAGTCAATTACATAATTTTAAACTGTTCTGAAGTCAGATTTCACCTCTGTGCTTACAGGTTTATGCTATTGTCTCTATTACAAAAACTGACTCTGGATCTGTACAATCAATAGTGCAATCACATCGATAGGGCCTACTCTCGCGAGAAACTGTAAGGTTATATAATGTGGCAGTGGCCCGCCGGTTTTTGCTGTTCGCCTGCGAGCGAGCCGAGTTAAGTCTAATCTAGGAGGACAGAGCGACGAGACAATGGCTTCTAACCAGAGAAGGGACGGATGAAGGTAAAGCAAAGCAACACCGGACACAAGTTTATCGTTCTGCGTGGGAGTTGGACCCTATTTTCAAAGGATGGCTTGCACCTGTTACGGGGAACGAAACCAAGGCTTTCTGCCGTTGCTGCAACATCCAGATGGTATCAGAAATCACCGTTCTCTAGAATCACGCAAAGGGAGCTAAACACAACGAAAGGGTAAAATGCATTGCGCCAAACCAGACATCTATTCTTAAATGTCTCCAGCAAACTAATGAAAAAGAGAAGTTTGAAAATGATGTGAAAAATGCTGAAATCAAGCTATGTGGCTTTTCAGCCGAGCACAACATTGCAATGCACAGACCACTTAGTACAGGTGATTAAAGGCATTCTGCTGCGACAGACAGTGAATCAGATGAGGAGATCGAGATCAGCAACTAGGTGAGTAGGCTGCTTTGTCATTTATTGGGTCAGTTTTTCCACTGCTGTGATGTTTTGTCGCGTGCTTTTAACCTATGTAGAAATGAAATAAATAGGACTGCGCAAATGTGCAAATTGTGTCAATGCGTGGAGGTCGGAGTGGTGCCGACACACTCTGCACGTTTATAGGCATTATATTACTGGTTTTAAAGATGTTTATTTAAACAGGGCAATATAAAACACCTTCTTTGTTATATTATATTGGAGTGAGAAGTCGTTTATAGAACGTTATTATCAAATTTATAATGTACGATAATTTATACTGAAAAACGATAATTTAAGCCTCTCTGTACGATATTGTGGGATTTTGGATCTGGCAACACTGGTCACATTCATTGTCCAGTGGAATGCGGAGATCATTTGAAAGACAACGGTAGAACCCGCCCCACAACCGAGAGCCGTCAATGGAGCATGGCCAGACTAAATAATACATTTATTTAGTCTGGCTTGCCAGGCTACAATAGTCACAGAAATGACTTGAATCTGACAAAAGTAGTAATACATAAAAATTCTATGAAATTTAACCAGTGAAAGTCAGACATTGCTTTTAAATGATGCTTCAACAGAATGATTTAAAAAAGTAACTAATGGAACAAGCCTGGAAAAAAGTGATGGTCCCATCGACATTAATATATGGTCCCCTAGAGAGACTGTGACCAAAGGGACATGTTAATTCAAGGTGTGTCCACTAATGAGCATCACAGCTGTCTACAGTCTTGCAATGAGTCCGTGAGATCCAGGTAGTCACTGTGTTGTTCAGTGACATGAGGTGTACCACACTCAGCACCAGAGGAAGAGAAGAGTTGTCAGATAATTATTGTTCAGGCCTCTTCCATGAGTTTATTGTTTTAAACAAAAACTTTTGTTTGTTCAATTTAATTAAATGTTTATTTATAATTACTTTTGTCAGATTCAAGTGGGGGTTTGGCTGAAGAGTACCAACAATTTAATTCATGTCCGGAATGGTTTTACTCTGCTCCAAAAGAGAGTTATTGACCCAACCCTAGCCCACTAAACCCCAATTAAGGCGCCCAAAAAGCAAATGAGCAGCAACACGATGATCTGATGTCATTACAAAAAGACACCTGAAACCAGTTATGCTCGTCTATTTCAGCTGCTGATTTCGTTAAGACTCGGATCTTCTCATTGAAACTAAAAACAGCAACAAACCATACAAATGTATGTTTTGATGTCGCTATGGGGGATGAGGGACTTCTAGTTTGGCACTTGACTTTCTCCGTATTCCTGATCTGTTGAAGTTGCATGACAGGAAGAAGAAGTTTCTTGATAACATCACCGTCTGCTTGAGAGGTGGTAATAAAACATTCCTGTTGACGTCTCTGAGAAGTAACTCATTTCCATTCTCGGTGATCACGTCTAAACCAATTACATCTGGTTTATTTGGGACGTCAGACTTAAAAAGATACCTTGTCATCAGCTGGCAGCCATAGTTACCTGATTCTTCATGATTTAAAAACAAACGTTAACCTCGGGTAGCATCATGAATCACGTGCATCTGTTCTTCACCTGACTGGATCTGTGGGGTGAAGCCATTGATTGCTTTTCCTCTCACAAACATCCCGTTGTTTTCTGGGTTTGATTGATGGGCCTGGATAATCTCATTCAGCTTCTGCTGCAGAGCCTCAAAGTCCTGAGAAGTGTTTGCGATCTGTTGAAGACATCATCAAACACGTGAATGACTGGATGATGAAACGGGGAAGACGGGTTTTCTTTTGGCTGACTGCTTTTTACCTCTTTGGAGAAGCTGTCCAGCTGCTCGGCTTCACTCCTGGCCGTTTGCTGATTGGCTCTCAGGTTCTTCCTGTCCTTGTAGCCTCTAAAGTTACTCTGGATCTTCACTGCAGCCTGTTCCTCCTCCTGTCTCTCTTTTTCAACATCCGTTTCTTCTTTACGCTCACACACCACGTCCGTAACATCCAACACCTCAGTCTCGTGTTTCATTTCCTGCTCCGACCCGTCAGGAGTAACGTTTTCCTCCTTGCCCCTCTGCCGAGCCTCCTTCTCAGCTTTCAGCTTCTTTCGATCTCGATGGCCTCTGAAATTACTCTGCAGGACCGTTGCTGCTTTTTCCTCATCCGCTCCCTCGGGGTTCTCCGGTGAAATGTCCTCCTGGACATCTGGCACGGTTTCTTTTTGTGTAGGCTCCATTTTAGTTTTCCTGGGAATCTTCCCTTCCTCTTCCAGTCTCTTACGCTCCTTGTGACCACGGAAGTTGCTCTGAATCACCACTGCTGCTTTGGTCTCATCTGGGTCCTCCAGCTCGACATGGTTTGGTGAGGAACTCGCTCCAGCTTGAACTCCGGTCTCTTCTTTCTGCTTCTTGGCTGGGATCTTGCCTTCCTCCTGCAGCCTCTTCCTCTCTTTGTGACCTCTGAAGTTACTCTGGAGAACTGTGGCTGCCTTGGTTTCCTCTTCATCACCTGGAGTCTTTTCCTCCATATCTTCAATCACAGCGTCATCGCCCACTTCTGTATGCTCCTCATCGTCTGCTACCTCAGTGTGATCGCTGTCATCGTTGTCCTCAGCCTCAATCGTACTCTCATCCTCTTCATCGCCTTGTTTAAAAGGACCCTTTGGGTCCATTTCCTCTTCCACGTGGCCATCTGGATTCTCCAGCTCAGCACCAGCTATTGTTTTTTTTCTCTCCTTGAACTTCTTCCTCTCCTTGTAACCCCTGAAGTTGCTCTGAAGAACCACGGCAGCTTTTGCTTCATCTTCCTTGTCGTTTTCATCATCAGTGGCACTTTTGCGTTCTGTTGGCTTCTCGTCTTCTTTGAGCATCTGCTCTGCTTTCTCTTTCTCCTTGGCTTCCCTTCAAACAAAACGTTTTATTTCTGTCAGAAAAGAAGCAAGAAATGGGTTTCCAGGTTTCATAACCATAATCTCTTCTACCGTTTCCTTTGGAAGCTTTTTCTTTCCTTGTGCCCTCGGTACCGAGCCTGGATCTTAGTCGCTGCTTTGTTCTTCTCGTCAACCAGCTCCTGGTATTTCCTTCTTGCAAGAAGCCCCCTGCAAACTGAAGCAGATGGCTGATTAAATACACAGCTACAGAGTTCAGATTGTGTCATTTACCAGCTGTTCCGTACCAGCCTGAAACTGGATGATGAAGGTTTCCAACTTTGCTTTGCTTTTATCATCAGCCACCTTCTTCCGAACTTGATGACCTCTATAGGCTGAAGATGAAAGCACAAATTAGTGTGATTGGTGCAAAAATGTGGTCCTTTCTTGGTAGTTCACAAAACACCGACCTGACTGCAGCACCAGAGCGCTCTGTTCTCGATCTTTTAACATCTTCCGATATCGTTTGGCTCCCAGCCAGCCTCGGACGCATGCCTGAAGGAGGATTAGTCTCTGTGTGGCCTGCTGCACCATCAGGTTTAGGTGTTCTACATGGTAGTACTTTAGGAACACCTGACAACCGAAACATACAAGAAATGAAAATGATCACGGGGGACAAACAGCTACAGTGTTAGTTTGAACACTAGCTCAGCTATTTCAGAAATGTATAAGTCAAAAGTTCATGTCTTTCGGTATTAAAATATCTCCTCTATTCTCACCATTTTTATGCAGTTGTACCTTTTTTTTATCTTTTCCACCGATCTTTTAGCTATTTTTTTAACCAGTTCTTAATTCACCCAGACTGAAGTCTTGTGTCACTCCTTGGTCTTGTGACCTACTTGGACTATGAACGCTCTGATTTCATAAAAGAAGGCGAAAGAGCAACTTAAACGCTTGTTGCTTTTATTTAATCTGCAGATGTCTGCTTTAGTTACCTTCCCAAATTCAATTTACAGCAATCAGCCTGCATTTCTGCAGGAAATCCCAAATTACTGCTGAGATTTAAAACACTGCAAGGACAAAAATTGATTCTCAGTTTCTAAATTTCCTCGTGTCGCTGGAATGTCAAAGTCATTGCAGGGCTGTTGAATGATTCTAAAACCCTCGTCGGTTTACTTTCCCAGAGTCAGAAATGTGAGGCGACTATGGAAGGAATAAGCGTCCAAAAGGCAAAAATCCAATTTGAATAATTTAAGATTAGGTCAATTTGAAATGACCGTCAGTTTATGCAATGAAATATTTAAATATTATACCAACAAGGTCGACCACATAAACAAACCTCCTGGCATTTTTTGGTAATACAAGTACATATTAAGAAAAAGAAATAGTATTCTTGGGCTAAATTTAAACTATGTCTTATATAAGTCAGTGCTAGGAATAAATCACACCTTCGTCTTTCCCATTGCCCAATTCTCCAGTTTAGCCTTGTCCAGTATAGAAGCGCATGCCTCCGGGGTCGGAGCTGGCTCCTCGTGAGCATGGAAAGCCAAGACGTAGTACCTGCAGAAATTAATGTATTCATCAAGACCAACGAATAACCTCCCTGGGTTGTGATGAGCATGGAGAAAGCTCTGACCTCTTGATGAAGTTAGCAAACAGAATACGGTGGGAGAAACCCTGCCGTCGGATTTTAGCCGTTTCCAGAACGCCCGTGTACCGCAGCTGAACTAGAACCTTCTCTCGGTCAAACTTGTTGGCTTGGCGATCGTTGTTGGGTTTGATGCATCGAACAAAATGAGGCTGCCCTGCCACCATCTTGGACAGGAGGTCCATCAGAGAGTACTGAAAATGTTAAAACGTGTGTGGTGATTGGTTTTTCTGTGACTTAAACTTTGCTAGGTTAGGAACTTTTATGGCAAGAGAGTGTGTATAAAAGAAAACACATAAACTTTGGGCAAGGTTCAAAGAAAAGCTGCAAAATGATTAAAAATAAAACCCTAAGAAAGATTTAAAATGTAGAAGATGTATCCTAGTTACAGTTTACTGTCTTTGTCTTTCAAATTAAGCATTTCAAAATGAGAAAACACAGAATGAGAAAAAAGAAAAAGACAGATTTGATTGGATCGTACACGTTTGGTAGGTAGCCTTTTTTAGAAAAATCACAGTTTCTAGAAAAGGTGTATTTGATCTTGGTTTAAAGGTCATAAATAACACCAAGAAGACATCAGTGTGATGTTCCAATAGGCGGATTCTGGTTGTTGTGCTGCTGGAGATTTGAGGCAATGTGCAGGATTTTAGCGAGACAATGTCATTGGATGAATGTCCAAATCAAGATGGCCGCCACGGCTGATCAATTTAAGCAAACACAAAAGAACTCAATGAGTTTTAGAGGTAGTAACCATCACACCACAGTTCAATCATTCCTAACTGATATGACGATGCTATCCATAAGATTTGTCTTTAACTCCCATTAAATATCAACAACAGCTGCAACGAGAAATAAAGTCTCACCCTGAAGTAGGAAGCTACCGTCTGTGTTTTCATGTTGGTGGTTTGTCTCGGATGGTAGGGAGCATCTCCAGCTTCTGCCGGCTGCAAAACAAAACCATTAAAAAAAAACAAATCAACAACTGCACTCTGAATTCAGACCACGTCTAAGTTTTTTCATGCAAGTTATGGTAAATTACAGCTCCTCCACCTGCTGAGTAAACGACATCTTTCGACTTATAAAGGAGCTTTGTTTTGTGTAAAAATCACTCGTCACCGTTTGATTTTCTACTGTGTCTTCAAGAGGCCGATCGAGCAAACAATGTTTGTCTGCAGCGTGCTTAGATTTCCAAGAAGGCTGCAAATGAAATAAACAGACAGGGGCCGAATCAAGAGCAGCGTCTAAATAAACACAACTGATCTACAGCTGTTAATAAAAATGCTTCAATAAAAGCGTTACAATTGCACTAAAACAATCTAAATACATTACACAGTAAGCCTGTTTCCACTTTTGGTACTTCTGGCCTTCTGGTCATTGAACGCTGTTTTAACGTCACACAGCTGGACAAAATTACATTTTACTTTGACAAAAAAAGAAAAAGTTTGATATCTGTGGTCATCTTCTGGCGCTAATCAAAAACATCACTCATCACTGCATAAATGGATCGCGCTATACTGATGCAAAGCCCTGAAAGGGCCGATTGTATGGAAACACTTCAGCTGAGAGGACCAAACGGTCACCTCCGTCCCAGAAATTTCCCAGAAATCCCACAGTGGAAACATGGCTAATAAAAACCATAGCTGTTGGGCCTCATGACGAATAAAAAAGATGCAACAGAACATCTAATCCTCCATTCCAACAACACAGGGAGACTTGTCTGTAGCAGACAATCAGAACAAAACACTTTGTTCTGTCTAAACTGCTTTAAAGCAAAGCTTTTGATGCCCCCCCCCCCCCCCCCATTGTAAAATATGCAAATGAATGGAAATAAATTCAAGAACTCATCAAACACAGTTTATGTAGATGTAGCTTCTGACAATTACTTTGAGGTTAACGACTCGCCCTGAGGCTTACATTTAGTGAACACTGTCGTCGTATTCGACTACAATCTAAAGTGAAGTAAAGCACACGAGTAAATTCAATAATTAAGAGTTTTATATGGATGATAGGAGCCGGGCTGGTTCAGAATCCTTGTGCTGCAAAACGGAAACTTTTGATGTATTTAAAGGTACTTATTTTATCACTTTGATTGAAGCTAAATAATCAAAAGTCCAAGTAGAGCAAAGCATGGTGCTTTAAAAACAGAGGAACAGGGTTAAGCACGGCTATCTAGAGGATTTAGTCTAGAGCTAGAAGTTCTAGAAGTAAACACGAGGACGATGATTACCTCGCTAAAAGAAAAAGAACTGTATAGGGTTAGAACTCCCATCTTTTATGGCAGAAATGCAAAGAAAGAGAAGAATAGAACAGCTTAATTACAACTGAAACTAGGAGTAGAATTAGAAAATCCTGCAGAGATGAAGTGATTTAAATTAAGAGCAGATGTCAACAGCCATGAAAAAAACAAGATGAAAAAAACAGAACTACTTCAATAGATGGTCTAGTGTGAGAAATAAAACGATATGCCAGTTGTACCTTGGCCAAAGTCATGGTCCGTGTCGGGGTCCGAGGGGCTCGTGTTGTGTTTACGCCTTTACCTTTGGTGTGGGCCAGGTTACCTGGGAAACAAGCAGAAGATCCATGAACTCATCTGAGTTAGTCATACAGGAAGCATGGACGTAATTTTGGGGGGGGGACATGTCCCCCCCCACTTTTTCCCAAGTCAAGTTTTGACCCCTGTACTTTTTACCATCCAAAAACAATATTACACTATATTAAATTGACACTGGTTGAGCTCGAAGACCAAGCGGAAAACAGCCGTTTGTGTTGAAACCTGTTTCCCATTAGAGCATACTGTAAAGATGCCCCCCCCCCCGTGTCCCCCCCACTTCTCAAGTGAAAATTACGTCCATGACAGGAAGAAATGGATTTTTACGATGGTCAGGTGTGCAAAGTCCTGACTTATTTTTCATAAATCATATCAATAATAATAATAAAAATAATAATTTCCAACACTTTAAAGACCAAGTTCACTCAGAAACCGTTTTTTCTTGTTATTTTTTAAATTTGATTATTCGTGGAGTTTCACATGCAGACTGAACATTAAAATAATCTCCTAATCCCATTTCCTGCCACCAAAAGAAAACAGACGGGGAAACTCATATAAAAAAAAAGCCAGTCAGATCTATGTCACGCCACAAATTAGCATTCATGGACTCACCCATGGCTTGCAACGGGGAAGACTGTTGTAGTACTGACATTAACACGACTGCATGTAGTACTGGAGGATTCCGCTAGGAGGCACAACAGCGTACTCAGACTGGATAGAGCACCGGGTTTGTGCAAACATGACATAACTGGTTCATTTTGAGATCACGGCAGGAAAAATAGGCAGCAGCGGTATTGAAGATACTATGAAAGACCTCTAAACCAGAGCCAGAGTGATCATGGCCAGTGTGTCTCACTCATTTTGTCAACTCCACCTACTGGTTACTCGTATATTGCAGCATGCGAACACGTAGCGTTTTTGGGGGGGCACGTGCACAAATGACGCTTCCTATCAACGCAAGTTACACGAGGCAGCCATTTTAAATACACATACGCGTCGGTAAACAGCAAGTAAATTTCCAACCTTAATGTCCAGGAGAGATCATCATGTGTTTTAGCTAGCAGGAGCTAATTGTTAGCATTAGCAACTCCTCAACAATCTGGGTGAGATGTGTGAGTATTATGAATATTAACAAGTAAGACTCCAAATCCCCCCGTTTTGTGCCCCCAACTCCACTTCTATATCTGAAAAAGGAGAGCCTGCGCTTTTTCAAATAAGAGATTGACAACATTCAATCAAACTAATGGCCACAGCAACTAAATTGAACAATGCGTGAATTTGTTTTTTTTTAAACTATTTATCCAATCTGTTTCTTCTGAATGGCCTTTATCATTCATAAACCAATAAAAACAAAATTTAAGTATAGAAGTAAACGTAAAGTGATGCAAACCAAATGAGTGTTGATTAGCTTGGTGACTAAGATCTCACCGTGTGGTGAAACACGGAAGATTGATATAAAAGCTTTAAGAGTACTTTCAAAAAGGCGATTAGAAGATTATCGACAGAACAGGCAGTCTAACCTGCGCAACAAAGAAGTCTCACTGTGCCAAGGCTGGATTATTTATTACAACAGATTCCTGGCAAACAACAGAGGAAAGCCTTGTTTTGTGGTTTCTGTTTTTGAGTTTTCTTTCCTTCCTCCTCTAAAAGTCATCCTCAGCAGCTCCTACCTGTTTTAGTGAGAGGATGGGTGACTAGTTTGCAAATGATCTCGTTCTCTGATGACCTCAGCAGCAGGATGATGTCAGCAGGAAGCGTCTCTCTGTTCTTGGACAAAAACCCTGCAGCGTTGTAAATCACCTTAAGAGTTCAAAAGAATCAAAAAAGAACACATGAGAGGTGGGAAGAAGACCTGCAGGATGTGTAAATGTTAGATGAAATCACCTTTCCAGCATAGTGGTGAATCCCAAAGCCAAGGTCTACCCGCTTCGGCCTCCAAAAGGTTTTGGTCTTGAGGTTATCTTCAAATTTCTCTAAAATTCAAAGGAGACGCTTATTTTTTATTATTATTTTTGGAGGTCACGAGTACAACATCCAAACCCGCTGAACTGACCTACGAGTGTCTGGTCAGTGGCCTGGGGGAATCGGCTTTCCTCATCCAGCAGTGAAAGCAGCCCCATGGGTTTCTGCAGGAACAGGTCCAGGAGAGGCCGATTGTCCTCGTACTCAATCATCCGGGCATCCACCTCTTCGTTCAGGTACTCGTCCTGCACAGCAGTGGGAAAAAAATTCCAAATGATTTGATAGGTAAAAATTAAAGCTTTGGAGATTTCAGCTTTTTTATTTTTAGAGATTATAATATTAAATCTAGCTATTGGAGCTTTTATTTTTAAACTTTGCAAACAGAGGCATTCTTCACAAGTTGCAGGAGGAGAAGATTAGAAGGTAAATTGATCAAATTTGTTATAATTAGAAAAATTCAGGACAATATGGACTCATTAATTATTTACTGTCATTTTTAAAATAATAGAAAACATTTTACACCAACAAATAGATTTTTGTTTTATTCCAAATTTTTGGAAAGTCCAGCAGTTATAAGGTAAGATAAGATGAAAATTTACACATCATCCTTTCACCACCGGTCCCCATTTTAAGCCACTCTGATGACATCAGGCTGACTCAGAGCTGCGGTGACTCAGCAAACATTAAGAAAGCCCTTAAGGGTGGATTAGACCAAACTGGCACCAAACTGCATCAATTCTTCAGCTTTTGTAAGCTTCAATTTAGATTTGGACACCAGAAAACATGTTTCTGTGTAAAAGTGATAAATAATTGCCATCTTATAGATAACTTCCCCAAAAGGCCTCAGTTTGAAGAAATGAAGATTATATGCTGATGTAGCCTAGCAAGCCATCCTATACATATGAATATATAGGATGGCCATGGCTCATTGACGGCTCTCAGTCCTGGGGCGGGATCTACAATTGTATTTCAAACGGTCTCTGCTATTGGATCACAAACACTGCTACAGATGTCAGTCAATGAGGCAGTCCACCATACTCCATCAAACAAGATGCAAATACAAATTTTATCTAAATAAACCTAAGTACCTCTATCTGCTCTTGACTCAAAGAAAAACTAGTCTAAATAGTCCAATCGTGATGCCAAAGCCCAAACAAGCCGTCGCCATCTTTGTTTTTCTGTAACAATACGCCCACCAACAGAGTGCAGTGATTGGACCGCTACGGAGACGTCGACATCTGAGTTTAACTCAGTTGCAGTCACATCCCATCCACCTGACTGATAGGGAGCTGTGACTGGCCCACTAAACTAACCAGGCAAACCAGGCACCATGCATAAGGCACCAAGTGACCAGGGGGTGCCAACAAATCAGGCTTAGGAAAACAACTTCCATGAGACGTTTTGTGCACTGACCACCATCATTCCAGGCAGGAGAGATAGAAAGGAAACAAGTAGGTGGTTTAAAAAAAATCCGCGGGTCAGTGGAGCCATTTTCTCTCTCTTCCTGGCACTCGCAGAGTACAGACGCTTCTCTTTTTGCTCCCTTATCTTTTGTTCCCAAGGCTCTTTGTCCTGTCTGCCCACAGAGCGCGTCTCTGCATTTCTTCTGAAAAACCCTATTTTTAAACATGGATTTGATAAACTGGTCATTCAACGCGATTGATGAGATGTTTTCAACAATGAGAACGGAGCAGGGGGCTCCCACTTGCCCACAGTGGACACACCCGGCAGGGTATATGTTGGATTCCTGGAAGGAGTGGAAGATTGTATGCCCCTCCCAGCTGTCCATTGAGGATGTCGAAGACGTGTGGATATTTGGCCTGATGATCACTGGATTTCTTCTGATTGGAGTGAGAGGATATCTGGTTTTCTGGAAATTTGGGAAGACGGGAGCGATTCGAGGGCGACCCGCACCCACAGAAAGCACCGTCCGTGTGGAGACTTTACAGACTGGGACGTTACTCGAGGTGAATCGTAAGCTGGACAATGTTCTAGCTGCGATACCGGTATTAGTGCGCAAAATGGATGTCATCTCGGAGAGGGTCACCGGACGGTATGGACAGGTTTAAAAACCTAAATTGGCTTCACTGAAGGACTGGAATGATCAGTAAAGACTGAAGGCAGAGAGGAAATGTATCTCAGCCTGACCCAAACAAAGTCTTGTTATCCGAATCTGACGCCAGAGCAGCCTCGAGATGCTAACAACAAACCCCCATGAAGGAATGCAGACAGATGCTGTGACCCCCCCCCCCCCCACACACACACACACACACACACACCTTCGGATTGGTGGACTTCAGCCTGGCGAGGTCATCAAACTGCAGGAGTCAATGTGCTCTGCGCGTCACCCGAGATCTCCCTCCCACCTGTGCTACAGTGGCTGAGCGCCGTACATGGCTGCTCTCGCTGGGGAAACAGGATCCCAGGCCCCCCCCCCCCCCCCCCCCACCACCACCACCTTCCTATTGGAGTATCTATGTCGTGTTGTCTGAAGTCTGTTGCTTATCTGTCTGAGGTGTTTTTTTGCAGAGCAAAGCTGCCCTCCTGGTGGGAGAGTAGCTGTGAAGTGCCTTTTATTCCCTCCTCCCGAATCAATTCCTCATGTTACCCTCTTATCTCTATTAAGGTAGTGCGACTCAGGGTTGCAAATGACCACAGTCACCAATTCTTGTCATGTGTCTTGCCCATGTATGTCTGATCTCAGAATTGTGTGTACTGAAACTCTAATTTCCCTCTGGGATTAATAAAGTATCTTTGAATTTGAATTGAATTTGAATTGGATCCACTATAAAACCCCAGAACCGTCTTGAACACCATTCATCACAGAGCGGATCCAAGGAAGCTACAGGTAAGAAGTGTCTTATTCATGAACTTTACTCAGAAAACACTTGTGAAAATGACCAAAATGCCCCTCTAACATGTAGTAATGATGCTGTAGATGTGTTATCATAGAACCATCGTGTTAATCTCAAAGCTCAGAACCTTCCCCATATGCTCTGAGAGTATGGGCTCTTACTATAGAACAATGTATTTCTGGGCTTGGTTCCAACATCTCCCAAGAGGGAATTTCAGTCCAACATTATGTGTCTCCAGGTCCTAATTGACCCTCATTTGGGATGATTTATAGCCCCACTCCATGGGTGAGTCCAAATCGTTTAACATTAGCAAACCATTCTCCGACCCCCCCAAGGCGAATCACTCCCACGAGACTCCACAAAGAGAGGCGAGCACATTTTACCCTCACCATCTCTCTCATAATGACAAACGACGTGTTATCACAATTTAGATGGAAATGAAGTGGGACCAAGGTGAAAACTGCACACAGAGTGCTTTTCTGCGAGTGATGAAAGCACTCAGGGGGAAATCTTTGATTGCACTGATGAGTTTGTTGGGAGTGGGCTGAACTCTACCTGTTCCCATGCGAATATGTGCTGATTGAAGTAAAACTGGATCTGCTCATTGGCAATGTTGATGCAAAGCTGCTCGAAAGAGTTCTTCTTGAAGTTCTCGAAACCAAAGATGTCCAGAATGCCGATGTTCAGTCCCTTGTCATCCTCTCTGGAAAATAAAATGAAATATTAGAATGTTTTGGCAGCGGGTCTCCTCAGAGGATGAATCCTACCTGGAGTAACGTGATGAAGGAACCATTTCTCCCCTCTAACAGCTGTTCTGTTTGACACAGTGTCAGTGTGCATGGAACAGCCTCAAGGTCATGCATTCACTTCTAAAGCCGGGCGTACACTGTGCGACTTTTTCACTTTTTTGAGCCGATTTTCCAGTCGTGCGAGAATCCACGAGATCGGGGCGAGTTTTGCGCGGAGCGGTCGTGTAGTGTACAGGGGGTTACGAGAGGCGATTAACACAACGCGACCAGCTGCCGATCAGCAGTCGTGAGGTCGCACGGACTTCTGGCGTGTTTAATATTTCGCTCGTCCCTCGTGAGGGTATCGCACTGTTGAAGCGGCGCTGCGAGCAGCTGCGACCCAAAATGTATCAGAACCGCTCACGGCGCATGCGCAACCCTGCATCAACACCGCTCACCCGCTATTTCCCTAATAACACACATTGTTCATTTTAATTTCTACAAGTTTTTTTACTCACAAAGATTGTCAAGAAAGCGTGTTTGTCGTGTTCATGTCAAATTAAACTGATCACAAAACACAGATTTACTTTCTTTATTTCGTTTTCCTCATCCAACCCCCATAAATCCCTGTGTGTCCTCCTGCAGCACTCCCGAAGGACAACAGGCAAAACAAGACAAAAAAGTCTGACGTGTTGAGTAAAAACTGCTATTTTTAGAATATTTTTAGGGCCGACGTGTTGCTACCAGACGTACAGTGTGAGCAGTCAGGTCGCGTGCGAGAACTGGGTCGTACAGTGTGAGCACATGACTCGTGAGATCTGCTCTGCGAGGAAGTCGTACAGTTTGAGCTGAAGCTGAACGCTGCGAGTGAAAAAGTCGCACAGTGTCCGCCCGGCTTAATGTTTACATTCCAGCAGTGTAGACGGAAGAACGAAGAATGAACTCTTTTCTTTTAATTAATCAAAGAACTCAATTTTAACAAAGCTAATCAAAACAACTGTTAGTCAACAATAACCATGTGACCGATCTGTGAAATCACAATGTTATGATTAATGTTTAATAAGGAAATGACGTATTGTAGCCACTAGTCAGCTGATTCACAAGATAAATAATCATGACACATTCCGGTAGCAAATCCAATCAGATCCTTCAAGTCTGAAGCGTGGCAGAGTCTCTGTGGCGTTTATTTAATCTGTCAGCTGTGATTCGTCCAGAAACGAAACATCAAAGATTAATAAGTCAGAACAACGCCATTTTGAGTTCAGTATTCAGCCAGCTCTCAAAATCCTCTGATGTTCATCATCGCTAAGTGGAGTACGGACCGGCCATCTGTACTTTTTACTTTTAAGCTGAGAACTGCCAAGCTGGGAAATCCTGTCGTTGTTACCAACCAAACAACGGTTCCTTCAGAATAAAAGCTGAACTCACTGACCCAAAGGAGGGTCCCTTTTGACGCTGTGAAACACCTGCCGTTTTTACCTGGAGACTATCCAAAGACTGGTTTGTCGTGCTGAGGACGCTGTTTCATTCGGCTCCAGTACCAGAGGAGGGTCCGTGGACCTGGCAGCCTGATCTAAGACGGAAGTCCCACTGACGGGTAATGTAGAACGGCACAGATAGCGTCTTGTGTTTTCTGACTAAGGTTCAAACATCGATCAGTTAGGAGCAAAACATCATCTCCCACTCAGACTCGCTTCTCCCGAACGGAGGTTCTGAACTGACATCGCACCGACACACACTCCACCTCACGCTCATTCCATCAGCATCCATCACTAGAGAGTTAGTCCTGTTAAACTGTTTAAAATAATTTAGATAATAAATGTTGCGTAAATGTTCTGAGGTCTCTCTCTCTTCTCTTGTCTCTCAGTTTATGCAAAGTGTTTATTTAAATGTCCCAGTAATAAAAAGAACCACTCTTCTGATTTTAAAAGCCCAGCGTCCAGAGAAGGGGTCCATGCCAGATATGGATCAGTAATATCTCTGGTCATTAACTAAATTGTAATTCTCATTATCATTCCATTAGACTGGTTTTCTTTTCTCTCTAATCACCCGAACCATCTTGAGGGACCCTAAACTTCTGGATCTTTGCTTGAATCTGACACGAGTTTTATATACTCGTACAAGATTTTTCATTTCAGCTTTCAACCTCACCCGAGTTGACTGTCAGGCCTCAGCAGCGTGTTGATCCGGTTTACGATCCAGCTGAAGAGACGGGCGTACAGAGCCTTGCCCATGGCGTCCCTCACCTCCACCGCTTTGTCCACTGTGTTGGGCCTGACGATGGTCTCGCCACGGGCTACGACACAGTGGGACGTCAGGGCCTCCTGGAGTTCGTCAGAACGAATGCGCAGCAGGGATGCCACTAATGGGAAAAGCGAGAGAAGACATCAGATAACAAGATGGGAAGAGTTTATACATTTAGGGAAAAACACCTGCCGGTATCTGGTAGCTGTCTCACCATTCTCCAGGACAGAGATGTTGGTGATGTTGCTCTTGTCTGTCTGGTGCTCTGAGGCAACAGCAGAAAATTCAATGTCACCAGAGTTCAGGATGGCAGCCAGAATGCTGTAAACACTGCCCAGCTCCTGCAAAAACAGCAGATAACTTCTTTACCAAGTGCTGCATGACGGTTATGTCAAAACACAGATCTTTAGAAATAACATGGCTCTGGATAGGAAACAGCTCTCAGTTTCCAAAATGTGTACAAGTGAAATCACACTCTACAGCACAGTTAATAAACGTGCACCCTTTGATTTCAGTGGCGCACCCAGCACATTTTCGGGGGTGGGGTGGGGTGGGGGGTGGGGGGGCTGCTATAAAAAATTTGGGGTGCCACACCCATTAAAAAAGTTTTACTTATTACTGTTTCAAAAAAGTTTCCACAAAAACAAACTAGGATTTATACTTTGCTTAAACCGGGTGAGCCTCAGTTACACACCCACACACACCCACGCACGCATGCACGCACGCACGCACGCACACACACACACACACACACACACACATTTATACATTGTGATTTATTAATTACATTATTAAAATCTCATTCAAACAAATGCATTTATTGGCTGTAACATTTATGACTGAATTTATAGCATGAATCATATTTATTAATGAGTGAGTGAGGTGGTCTTCCCTGGGGGTGGGTGGGGGGGAGGGGGGGTGGCCAACAATTTTCCAGAGGTGGCCATGGACTCCCCTGGCCACCTCTTGGATCCATCCATTAGTTTAAAGCTCATAAAATAGACCTACAATTGCTCAAAAAGCATGTTTCAAAGCACAAAAACCTGAGTCATGGAGGGCTCTGAGATTGGAGATGGATTGCAGTAAGAGTCCTCTCCGAGTCTTCTCCAGCTCCACGGAGCGATTACAGGGTAAGTGATATTGACGTGCAGCTCCCAGGACACGTGAGTTCTTTGAGGCTCATTAGCTCTTACAATGCTAACAGCTTTCTGCCTACATGCGTCTGCAGCTTTATGCCACATCTCAAATTTTAAAGTTGACTAGCAGACAGCATCTGTGTCATATTAATAGTTACAGTTAACTTTTTATTTTAAGCTGTACCGACTTCCACAGCAGCTCAGTGAACGGTAACTCTTGTGGTCAGACTTCATTCAGCTCTCTGTGTCCACTGCGGTATCCATACCTCCCGGGTAAATCCAATGACTTTGAAACACTGCTCCACTGCATCAAACTGCTCTTTGTAGGAGGCGCTGCTCACAATGTCAGGTCCTAATTTAACGTGCTCGTTACACAGATACCTGCAGAACAAACGGTGAACGTTCAGGGCTGAACTTTGCTTAATGCAGTAAGAATGGCTGTGCTTAGATGAGATGGAAACCTACTTTGGTGTTTTGCTGTCAGAGAGCTTGTAGTGAGCTAGTTTCTTCCTGTCAGCCAGACCAGCATAAATGTAGTAAAAGATGTGAAAGTTCTTCTCTCCTCTGTGGAAACACAAACATAAAGCTAGTTATTTTAGTCCTTTCTCTTTAAAAGTGCCTTTTCCATGAAGCAAACAGGGATTTGAGGAGATACATTCAGAGAAGACATCATTTCTAATAAATTATACAGTCGAAGCAAATTCTAGCTTTAAGTAACGCTAAATAGTTTTTTTAAACTTTAAGCTAGAGCTTTATCATTGATCTCAGTGAAATGTGTTCAGTTTCATATTTGACACCGGTCTGCAGCCCTCTGCTGACCACTTACTGCACTTTATCGTTCTGTGGAGGCAGTAGGTGCTCTATAGAACGAGCGTTTTACCTGCTTTTCAGCTATTGGCGGTTATGCTTTAGCTTTTTCAGTTCGCCAGTCGTCAATAAAAAGCACGAGAATAAGAACAATAAAGAAGTTTGCTCTTTCGGTTGGCATCGTGGCGGAGCCTGGAAGTAAAGTTAAAGTCCCACAGTCATCATCACACAGTCATCATCTCTGCATGTGACCCATCCCCGTGGGGAGCAGTGAGCTGTGGCCGCGCTTGGGAACTATCTGGTGGTTTAACCCCCAATCCAACCCCTTAAAGCCGAGTGTCAAGCAGGGAGGCATTGGGTCTCATTTTTTAAAGTCTTTGGTATGATCCAACTGGTTTTAAACCCCGATCTCCCAGTTCGAGGGCAGACACTCTACCACTAGGTAAATCTAGTGGTAGAGTGGTGGTAAACCTATCGGCAAAATCTTCTGCAAATTCAATATCCAGTTTCACTGCTTTGCGGATGACACCCAGCTCTACATTTCCAGTAAGCTCAACTCAACTCTCCCACCATCCTCCCTTACACTCTCAGAAATCAAATCATGATTCACCTCTAATTTCCTCAAACTCAACGGCAATAAAACTGAACTTCTTCTGGTTGGCACTAAATCCACCATCTCAACATCTGACAGCTTTTCTTTAACTATTGACAGCGCCATAGTCTCCCCCTCCCCTCCCCTCACGTCAAGAGTCTGGGTGTCATTCTCGACAGCTCACTTTCTTTTCAGGCTCACATTAATAACATAATTCGGTCAGCATACTTCCATCTACGTTCCATAAACCGTCTCCGCCCCTCACTGACCCCTCACACTGCCGCCATTCTCGTCCACAGCCTCGTCACCTCCCGTCTCGACTATTGCAATTCACTTCTTTATGGTCTCCCCAACAAACTCCTTCATAAACTGCAACTGGTCCAGAATTCAGCAGCCCGTATTATCACCAGAAACCTTTCCTTTCACCACATCACCCCGGTTCTCCAGCAGCTTCACTGGCTCCCAGTTAAATTCAGGTCCATCTTCAAAATTCTCCTCCATACCTTCAAAGCAATCCACAACCTCTCTCCTCCATATATCTCAGACCTTATAAGTATTCACGCCCCATCCCATTCTCTCAGATCTTCTTCTTCCATCCATCTTGCGGTTCCTTCTGCCCGTCTCGCTACCATGGGGAGCAGAGCTTTCAGCCGCTCTGCTCCTCGTCTCTGGAACTCACTTCCCCCAGACATCAGGAACATTGACAGTTTTACCCTTTTCAAAACAAAACTCAAAACACATATGTTTAAATCTGCCTACAACCTCTGATTTTATTGAACTGTTTCTCTCAGTTTTTTTTTTCTTGTTTGGGTTTTATTATTGTTTTATTGTATTTTATTACGTGTTTTCTGTCAAGTGACCTTGGGTGTTCTGAAAGGCGCTTTTAAATAAAATGTATTATTATTATTATACAGGCCACTGATCTTATTAAATGTAAGAGAGGAATGTCTTTGGAGGGGAAGCAAAGAGTTCAAACCAGAGAGAACATTGATGCAACCTATTTTGAGGGAGCTAAAAGAGGCTACAAAATCACGGACTGATGGTGACCTTGCTTTGTTGCTATACTGGACTAGTAGGTAATAACATTTTTGTCTAGCACTTCATGGTTTGTTTCAGTATTAGTTGGCTCATGTTGGTGTTAGCTCGTTGCTGGAGCTAGCTGCTCAGAGTTGTTAAATGGTTGAGAAACAAATAAAAAAATTAGCCAAATGTTTCACCAAACACCTTAAAACCTGTCAACGACCCATTTAAACGTTGTGTTAACACAAATAATCCACACGAACAAACAACCTGGTGTCTCTCTTGCAGGAGTCATGAAGTATTCAACATGAAATCCAACACAAGATGTGGCTTTGCCTCTTTGACTTGTTTGTTATCCCGCTAATAAGCAGAGTCCAGTTACAAGCTGGAGAAAAGGCACTTCCTGCCAAATCAAACCTCGTCCGACCCGCAAGGAAGCAATCTTTGATCAAAGAAGAAATGGGCCTTCCCCTGCACTTGACCTGGCCTGATCCCAGACACCCGATAAGAGGGAAAGATAGAGTGACTGAAGTGCAGGCTGCAGCCAAATGTCTCCAGCTTCATGCGGATAAGTAAAGGTGAAAGGAGAGAAAGAGCGAGTCCATTACACGCTGATGTCAGCCTGTGAGTGGAAAAATAACCTCTGTGTCCCTGTTCTCTCTCAAAGCAGGGGTGATTTACATTCACCTGAATGTCACAGCAGATAGAAGGTTTTAAAGGAGAAACAAAAAGACAAAGGACGGTAAACTTGCATCGCCTGGTGGATGACTCGGGATTTCTCCAGCAGATACTCTGATATCTGCGCTCCGACCACCGTCCCTCCGCAGGTGAACTTCATTTCCAGGTATTTACCGAAGCGGCTGGAGTTATCGTTAATGGCGGTGCAAGCGTTTCCGAAGGCCTCCACCAGACTGTTGACCAGCAAGATTTTCTCCTGCAGCGTTCGATTGTTGGCCTAAAAACAAATTAAACGCATGCAGAGGCAACACTGAATTAGCAAAGTAAAAAAATATTTTCATTTTCCCTTTTCAGTCAGGTTGCAAATCAGAGCTGGCACCAGATGTAGCATCAACACACCCATCACAGGATAAAGAGCATTTTAGATCCTATAAATATCTAGTTTCTGCAGGATGCACACAGGCTGCTCTGTGGTTTACCACAGACATTTTGTTGTTCTGTTAGCCTGGAATGTTTCCATATAAATGCAAATAGGAAAATTATTTATTTATTTATTTATTTACATAGAGACAGGGAACCACGGTGGTGTAGAATATAACTTAACCTTTGCTTTTTGAAGACAAATGATTACACTGTTAAATTGTGGGTAAAATAACAGTCAGGCAATTAAAAATAACATTAAAATTAAACAGGAAGAAATAATAATAATAATAATTATTATTATTATTATTATTATTATTATTATTATTATTATTATTATTATTATTATTATTATATAAACAGACTCACTTTTCCAAGAACTGTCAGCTGCTGCACCAACAGATGAGCACTCTCGGTTTTTCCTGCCCCACTTTCCCCGCTGATCACAACGCACTGCAGACAGGAAGTCACGGTTAAGAGTAAAAAAAATATGTGACTGAAAATTCACAACTAAAAGAGCAAATATGATTATAATGAAAGCAACCTCTAAAACAAACCCCACTGAGATGATTTCTACTCCACTTCTAAAATGTAGGTTGGCCCAGAAAGCTCAACATTTCGCAGCTAAAACACATAATTTTCTAATGACAGTAAACTTGCATGCACGTTGTCATGGTAACAGAAGGTGGCTCTGTGATGAGATAGTAGCAGTCATTACTGTTTGCTGCAGAGAGCACACTATAATGTTTTTGCTTGTTTGTACTTGGTATTTCATGAACCACTGGATGGATTGTAATGAAACTTAGAAAATACAAAAACAACTTTAACTCGCCTAATTGTGCTGATAGTAGGTTCAAAATCTTTACATTATTAGCAGAATCCAAATGCTAACTGATGGCAAAAATACCTTCAGATTGCACATAATGCTATTTTCAAGAAAAAGGGTTATATTTACATTAGCCTGTCTTCAATTAAAACACATATAGAAAACATTAAAAACATTATTAAATGTTACTTTTGATGTTATTGCGCTTCTGGCCTTAAAGCACCCAGATAGAGTATCAGGATTAGTACCTTCATCACCATTTCCAGTCCCATACATGTTTACTGCCATCTGGGGGAGGATCTATTTCTTTATTACTGGTATATAATTGTGCAACAAAGATTATTATGTAGTTGTTATATTTACATAAGGCGACAAAATCGTCCAGATTATTTTTTAGTATTTAATATTTAAGGTTTTCAAGTGACATTAAAACTAGCAAGACCAGTGTAACGGAATGAAATGACTGTTTCCACCAAAAGTAATTTTCCCCCTCTCCTCTGACACAGAACTAGTCTGCATGAGATATGGTCTCAAGGTCTCATGCATTTAATATAAACTGCTTTCTTTCCAGCTCAAGAGAAGAATGAAGAATGGACTCTCCTTTTAATAAATTAAAGATCTCTATTTTTAATAAAGCTAATCAAACAAAGTGTTAGTCAATAATAATCTGTGAAATCAAAATATTAATTACTTTATTATAATCCTATAGAATATAATAAGTAATATGACTAAATGTTTCCACCAGGACTGATCTCACGTAGCGTCAAGAGACGACACATTGCTTTTACTGATCCAATCAGAATCTGCCAGATCTGATGGAGGCGTGGTTTTGGTGGTGCTTGGTAAATCTGTCATCTTTTCATTCGACCATAAATCATAACATCCGAAGTATAAAACTATGCCCACGTCATCTTTAATGCCAGTTCAAAGCGTTCTAGAGAAGTTGTCGGAGTGGCCAATCCGTAACTTTCCTCTTCAGCCGAAAGAACCAACGACAAGCTGGACAAAATCTGTTGCATTTTACCAACCAAGCAACAGTTCCTTTCAGAATAAAAGCTGAACCATCACGACCCAGGTTTGGGTCTCGCTAGATGCCAACAAAACTGTCGTGACCCAGAAGTATCTCAAAGACTGGTCTGGTCGGCAATCGCTGCTTTTCCTACCAGCTTCGATTCCAGAGAGGGTCCAGCTGGACCTCAACATTCCTGATCCAGAAGGGGACTTCCAAAAGGGTACGTAGGCCGACAGAATGGCATCTCAATGTGTTTATGAATCTCCTAACCAAAGCTTAGTGCGAAGACATCACCTTCATTTCCCATCAGAACTAATCGCTTCTTCGGATTTGCTGGTTCTGATCAACATTCCACACTACACCATTCTCCATCTCGCTTCACCTCAGTTGCACCATACATTTAGTGTTTAAAGTTAGTCTAGTTTTAATTTGTTTAGTAATAAATCTTTTAACTTTTTAAACTTGACTCTCTCTTCGGTTGTCTCTGAGTGAATACGAAGTTGTTACATAATCCCTGCAATAAAAAGTTCCAATCTTCTGGTTAAAATAGCCCAACAGATCCATAAGGTTCATTTCATATTTCCTATGGAATCCTACGTCTTATTAAATAACATGTAATTTAAATAATTACACCAGCAGGCTGTAATGTTGTGAAGTTACCTGATCTGTGTTGTATGAAACCATTGACTGGTAGGCTAGATCAGCCACAGCAAAGATGTGTGGTGCGTTCGCTGTACGCTTTGCTCCGATGTACATCTTCGTGTACTGCAAGGATTAGGAACAGTTAAAGGAAGACGTGTACATTAGATTAATTGGAAGAAAACTGCAGTAGCTTATGTCTGTTAGGAATGATGGAAATTAAATGGCAGAGACAGTTTGTAGGTGACCATCGGTGAGGACTGGAGCAAAGATGGAGGTGAGCGTGAACCCCACTGACCTGGGGAGAGTACATCTCCATCTTACGGAAGGGGTTAACGGCGATGAGGATGTCTCCAACATACGTGTAAATCTGATCTGTGCTGTATCGACTCTGGAGCTGCTCTGTGACTGTGTTCTGGTGAGAAACAAAAACGAAAACAACTTTCTCTTTTACATGGTTGTCACATATTACAACAGGAGAATCTTCCATGCAACCCCCCACGTGCCTGTGAGTTACTGTTGTGTATTATTTTCACAGAGAGATGATCAATTCTGCTGTCTGCTCTCTGCCAGGTTCATCAACAACAGCTTGAAGGATGGAGAGAAATATCCGCTGGCAGCTGAGGCTGAATGTTTCATTCAATAAATCAATGCACGGTCCAGATTTGATGAATTGTTTCAGAGACGGTAGAAAAAACACCCAAGACACGAAGATGACTGACAACTATGTAGTTTAATCTATTGAATCTGTATTTGTTTAATTTAACTAAACATATTCATGTAGAATCAGTTTATCGTGTGCAAAATGTAGCCATCGTTAATGAATGTTTCGTTATTTATTCACGTTTGTTGGCAAACAAGAATTTGTGTCTTTATTACAACATCTTAAATAAAAAATGCATTTCAGACAAATTAATTAGACTTAGACCAAATTTTTGTTTTATGTAAAATATGTGTAAATAAAAACAAGATGCCCAACAGACCAAGAGGTTGTCGTCGTCTTCCTCCACCTATCCGGGTCCGGGTCGCGGGGGCAGCATCCCAACTAGGGAGCTCCAGACCGTCCTCTCCCCGGCCACCTCCACCAGCTCCTCCGGCAGGACCCCAAGGCATTCCCGGACCAGATTGGAGATGTAACCTCTCCAACGTGTCCTGGGTCGACCCGGGGGCCTCCTGCCGGCAGGACATGCCCAAAACACCTCCCCAGGGAGGGTGGCATCCTGACCAGATGCCCAAACCACAACAACAGACTCATTTCGATCCGGAGGAGCAGCAGCTCTACTCCGAGTCCCTCCCGAATGTCCGAGCTCCTCACCCTATCTCTAAGGCTGAGCCCGGCCACCCTACGGAGGAAACTCATTTCGGCCGCTTGTATCCGCAATCTCGTTCTTTCGGTCATTACCCAAAGCTCATGACCATAGGTGAGGATTGGGACATAGATCGACGGGTAAATCGAGAGCCTGGCTTTCTGGCTCAGCTCCCTCTTCACCACGACACATCGGCTCAGCGTCCGCATCACTGCAGACGCCGAACCAATCCGCCTGTCGATCTCCCGATCCCTCCTACCCTCACTCGTGAACAAGACCCCGAGATACTTAAACTCCTCCACTTGAGGTAGGACCTCTCTCCCGACCCGGAGTTGGCAAGCCACCCTTTCCCGGTCGAGAACCGTGGTCTCAGATTTGGAGGTGCTGATCCTTGTGGCCACAGAGGTCCACTGACTAAATACTTTAGTCAAAATCATTAAAAACATGTAAAATGTCCTAAATGTATAATTGGTCAGAAAACAAAAAATCAACAGTAAAATCAAATTTTAACCATTAAAATTATATTTTTATCTATTCGTACCTCATCAAGAACTTCAAGGGTAGCAAGGTCGTCAACCTCCTCGGTGTTGCTCTGCGTCTTCATGTGGTTTCCTTTCTTCGTGTGGATTCGTTCATGCCTGAAATCAACAATAAAAGTTTAAAACACAGTGAAAATGAGGAAAAAGTCATAAAAAATGCAGCTATTTATTATCAATTTTAAACTCGTGACAAATTTTAAATAGCATGAAGAAAACATGCTGCCACAGGAATTTTATTTTATGAGTAAATTCTAAACTATGAACTTGTTTTCCTGGGTAGCAATACAGAACCCAACAAGATACTGTCAGAGTACAAACATGGGTCTTATAGGTCAGGGGTTCCCAATTTCTTTTTTCTGAGGGCCCCCTTGCTCATATCCAAGACAAGCCAGGACCCCCAACCCCAACTCCTACATGCGTACACACATCACGTGTGATAATCTTTATAAAGGCACTCAGAGTTATAAATTATATATGGAGTTCTGGTTATACTGTAGGGTGTGTCATTGGGAGCTTATAAATGTAATTTGTACAAATAAATTCTTGCTAACCTCACAGTCTCAGCAAAGACAAAATTGTGGGGACCCCCTGCAAGTTTGTTGGTCCCGACCCTCAATTTGGGAACCCCTGCTATAGGGGACTTATGAGGTATATCCTGGGTACGTATGTACAGGGGTACTCATGGGGTAAATCCTGGGTACGTATGTACAGGGGTACTCATGGGGTCTGAACTTGGTACTTATGAAATACTTACAGGGGTATCTTCAGGGGAACATATGGGGTGCTGATGGAGTACATACTGGGACTTCTCATGTCATGTCAGTATGTCCCACACTATATGTGAGTGGTATGCTTACTGGCTCTCCCATTCCAGTCGCTCCGCTCAGCTGAGCAGAACTTGCTAATCATTCCATCCTCTAAGTTCAAATCTCAAGGGCATCTTGGGTTTTCCATGACGGCCCCGGCTCTGTGGAATGCCTTTCTCCTGAATATCCGGCATCCTTTAAGTTCAGATTGAAAACTCATAATTTTTATTTAGCTTTTGGTTGAAACTTGAATGATCACCTTTTATTGCTTTTATGGGTTTTGAAGTCTTATTGTATTGAGTTTTGTCATATTTTAGCACTGCTGTGGTGTATGAGATTGTTCTGTGATGTGTCCGGCCCTTCGGTCTCCCAGTCGGGCGTGTAAAAGTGCGTTATAAATAAATATGACTTGACTTAGAGATTTACAGATGGTTACTAGGCTGAATTATGTTACACCAACAACATGAAAGTAACCATAAACGCACCCTTTATGTGCCCCATGAGTATCTCAAGATGTACCCTGTATGCACATATTTCATTGTCACCCAGTACATACCCTATAAGTACCAGCTTGTAATGTGTTTTACCATACACTGTAACCAGAATAAGTTCACTGAACTCAAAATTTATGAGGAAACTGATTACCCAATAATATTTAAGTTAACTTATCTAAAAACTATGTTTATCATAACCTAAAAAATATGACCTGAATAAAATTAAAGCATTTAACTACCTCCAACCTATAACTTGGCACTTAAGCAGCTTACAAAGTTTAATTTCACTAAACTTGCATATTTCATTTTATTTGAACTTTATTACATGTTTTTACTAACTTAAATATTGTAACTTATATGAACTGTAAATGGACATATTAAACCCTAACCTAAATAAGTTGAATTTACTTAGAAATGACAATGTGGCAGGCTGGTGAAGGCAGTAACTAACACCAGATCATGACTCACACACCCTTACATGCTAACAGCCAATGAAAGTGGAACACTCAAAGTCAATTCAAGAGCATCTGTTGTGAAAAACCACAGTATTATTAACAATGGGACGGCACAGCCGTACAGCGTTACTTTGACCAACCTCCTCACTTATGGGGCCAACATGATACAAAAAGTAACACCACATCTGCAACATTGAATGAAATAACTGAGAACAACAATCCTCCACAATAAACATGCATAAACACCACAAAACAGAGCAAAATAACTGAAAACATCATGACTACCCACAATGCACCACGCCCAGCAGTTGTTTATTGTTCCTGAAATCCACCAAAATTGCTAGTTCATGGTCGTTTTTCCCATAAATCCACAAATATTTTAAAAATTATACAAGTCTGTTTATCAGAAACACTTTAGGGTGGACGTAAAGATGAATGGAATAATATAGAAACATAAAATAATAAGTCAATATTTAATTAGTTAATAGTACTCATTAAAGTTAAGTTGTTCTTTATGGATTAATTTAAGTTATTCTTACTGAAAAAAGATATAGTTCAGATTAATTAAAATGTTTGAGTTCTATGTACTTAAAACAAGGAATAACTCAACACATTTGAGTTCTAAAAACATTTTTTTATATTAAGAGTTTCATCTACTCAATATATTTGATTATTTTTAATTTTTGGGGTTACAGTGTATATTGTTGTAAGCCGAACCCAGTTACAATAGCTTGAGCTCATTTTAACTAAACTTTACTGAAATCTTTAGAAACCTTTTTGATTTTAAAGTTAATCAAGTGTTGTTATAACTCCAGATTACCTAAACCAAATCAGAGCTTAAGTGTATTCTAAAGTAATACTGACAAAAAAACTCAAATACAACTACTTCTATGGGTGCATGTAAACAATCTACATCAGCTTGCGTAGTTGCTGACTAAACTACAATACTGCTACTTATACATTCATTACCCGTCATTACTGTCTGCGCTTCTGTCTGCCTTTCCGTGATGGCTTTAACGACAGAAACAGGACTGATGAATCACAGAGGCAGTGAACAGCTTCCAAACCAGTGTGTTACAGTACCGCAAAAACTGTTACTGGAGGACGAGCAGGACTGAGATGTTGTTAATGTGAAGGTAGCGGGGCTTATAAAACATCCAGGGAAGAGGGTAATTTGGATTATACTGCCTGCAAAGACTGAGCTGCATATAAACCTCACTGACAGAAAAGCAGTTTAGGCTGTTTAACTTGAGGTGTTTGAGTGAATCTATTGCACGGCTTCATGGGAAAATTTGACATGCACTTGCAGAAACCTTCATGGTTTTGGTACAATACCTTGTTTTTTCAATCAGTCCTATCTGCTGGTTGAGATCAATGAGTTCAATCAGTTGCTTCTGCAGGATTTTCTCTCTGCCGCTGGCCTGTTTGATGAACACATGCTGGAGCAGGTCTAAAACATTTGGTCTCAGCTCAAAGTCTTTAATGAGACACCTGTGATGCAGATTATATGAGTTCATTACACTTGTGCAGTTAACGCATCGCTGAATATGTGTGCCTCACTCACTTGCAGATAAAGTCATTAAAGTCATGTGACCAAAGCTCTGGCTGGTGGAGAGTGGGTGGAGGGTTCCTGGTAAGGAAAGAAATGGAAACGATTAATGGAAAGATAAGATGGGATTTACATGGGTGGGGAACAAAGGAACAGAGGAATGATGGAGTGAAATCCTCACACTGGAACAGTTTGTCACAGGAGCGTTTCTGGGGTGGAATAAGGCAATAACAAACCTACAGCTAGGTGGTACAAATACTGCTGATTTATTACAGGAAAACACATTTCTTTACAGAATCCCTCAAAACCTGCTAAAAACCTTTTAAAAGGTGCTGAAAAGACGTCACAACAGCCAAATGACTCACTTTAAATCCATAAGAACCTTTTTACAAGAGGGTTTCTGGCACATGGGGGAGAAGTCACTGCTGCCTGCTAATGCATCCAGCCCTCCACACAAAAGCTCTGACAGCGATAAATTACTTTAATGAGAGGACATACATCTCCTGTTTATCACACAACACAGCAAATATAGACAGCAAATGCATCAGGCATTTATTTAAAGTCTGTTCAGCTAATGTTGTGACCAGTAACATGTTTTTTTTTCCTTATCCGGGTGACAAACAAGGTTGTTGTGTGGAGATGAGAGAACGGGGAGTCTTGTGTGCATCACTTAGCCCTAACAGAGAGCTAAAAAGTCAAGCTAACTTTCACTGTGGGCATTTATGTTGTAAAAAAATGAAATGTGTTGTTACTATGTGGTCACATTGTCCCTCTACAAGCAGTGTTTGGATAATTTAATATAGGGCATCGTTTCAAAAAGAATGGCCACGTATTACCGTAGTTCTCAATTTCAGTAATGAAGATTGAAAGCACATTTAAAATTAATTGCTTTGATGAAATGTCAAAAGTCCCCCTAAATAATGAATTTGATTCATGTTCATAGGGGCTTCCTCAGCTAGGTGGCGAGTGGTGTGCGATTATATGTGAAAGCACGGCTAGTTGTACAGGGTTTTCAGATTGAAGAAGAGGACAAGGGCTGAAAAACCGCACAGGCCAGTACAGGCGTTACCATTATCTTCTGGTGCTGGTTTCTCGGGTGGACCAGCACACAATGCTGCTTCAGGATGGAATGCTGGTCCAGCATCCAATGCTGGACTATACCAGCACCCACATAAGATGGAAACCAGCTGTGCAGTATTTTTCAGCAGGGTGGACCACAAAGTCTGGAACTATCTGGCCATCTTTTAAAGACTTTGGGTGTTTCTCAATGCCAGGGAACCTTGCCTTGATGTCTTGGCCCCGCCCCAGTTGCCTAGGAGATCCGTCATCTGGAGCTGCCAAGACGTGTAACAATGTTCATGTTCTACCGAGGCGTGTTCTCCGTTTGTTAGCCATTTAGCTAGCTGAGCGAGGATACACGGGAGGTCTTGTAGCCTAGCCTTGGTCAAAAATTACCCAGAATACACCGCGGTATTTTCAAAACGACGGCGGATCAGAAGCTGGCAGCTACCTCGGGGAAAATTTTCAAGTTTAAAAGTAAGCCAACTAATTAAAATGTTTTTTTTTTTACATCCAAAGAAGTTATCTATGGTTGGTTAGTTGCTTAGTAGTTGCAGCTTCGGTGGCTAGCGGGTAGTAAGTTGCTTATATTTTTGATTTAATAAACATATACACAATTTAAAAAGTAAAAGGCTCTTTACATATTTATAATGAAACTAATACGTATAAAATATAGCGTTGTCTCCCGTGTCACGTGACGTCACTTGACCGCCGTGGATGCCGCGGTAACGTGATGCAAGTCTGATCCATTTAACCGTTTTCTTTGACCAAGGATGGACAGTGTCCTCGTAAGCAAGGCGCCTGGCCTCGCAAGACATCGCCTCGTAAGGCAAGGCGCCTTGGCACTGAGAAACACCCTAGGTATTCCCAGTACATCCTGCAGTTTGAGTGGAGCCCCAACATTTCTGTTTGTCATTTTCCTTTCATCCAACATGGATGTTAGCAGCTCAGACTAGCATTAGCAGTCGATTGGGCTAGCTCTATGATTAGCATTTCCCTGACCAGTGTTTATATATTGAAACCTTTGAAGTGGTTTGAGACGTGCAAAGGTAAGGTGGTGTGTCTAAGCTTATGGTGTTTTACACCAGCTTTTCTCTTTGGTTAAACCAGATTCTGTGGGCAATTAGACACCTGAAGATGCCTTTATTCAACAACAACAAGACAAAAAAAGCAGCTTTATTTCTGTAGCACATTTCACACACAGAGGCAATTCAGCATGCTTTCCAGGTGCAACATAAAACAGTAGATTTTTTTAATTAAATGTAAAGTACACAAATGAAATTGATTCAAAAATGAAAGAACAAAGTCATGTGGTTTTACACTCTAGAGCTGCTTTAAGGAATTGCCTTTGAGTGGACAAAAAACGGAGAATGTTCTAGAGACGGTGCAGCCATCTCTCAAGTTTTCAGAATGTTCTGATTTAAAATTAGTTTCAAGCTACTTCAAATAAAAGTTCAAGAAAATGTCCCTAAAATAGAACGTTACACTAAAAATGAAAACTTGGGCCATCTAAATAAAAGCAGAGAGGGAGTAGCTGCATTAATGCCATCAGCATATCTGTTTTCCTCAGACTGCCAGCAGAACAAACCCTCCGCTTGTGAGCGAGGAGGGAAGTGAGTAGTGCGAACAGAACGCCTGGAGCTCTAGCTGCAGCAGTCACACAGATTCAGAGAGATCTGTGTGATGGCTCTGGTGGAGCACGACCCCCACAGCAAACACAGGACAGATTCAACACAGCAGTGTGTGTGTTTATGTGTGTGTGTGTGTGTGTGTATGTGTACCAGGACAAAGTGCTGTGTTAGCGTAGTGCTCATGTAGGTCTCACAGTGAAATCCAGAGATGATAAACAATTAGCCATCACCTTCAGAAGAGAATAAAAAGAGCCAGAAAGAGACGCTCAGAGGATGTGATCCGCGTCTGCAGGGGTTCGGGAGTTTGACAAGATGTTGTCTGGTGATATTGGAGAGACATCTAGAGAAGGAGATGGCTTTTCTGGGTTATATATCAAACACTGCATTCCCTTGTCTTTATTCTTCAGTCTGTCAGTCTCCTAATGAAGACACACCGACGGAAGGTCTTGCTTTACTGATGCATCTCACGAGTTTTGTCTTAAAGACAGCCCTAGTTGTAACATTAACAGGATATTCTACTGAGCAAAAATAAAAATAAAAATCAGAGGCCACTTTGATTGCTTGTTTATTTAAACAGCTAAATGTTATAATTCCTTGAAATGTGGAAAATAATAATATTCCTGCACATTCATTCAGTTTCTTCTGTTTTAAAGCTGACATCAATTATATGTATGTGCATGAAATAAAAATGCTCTTAATCATTCAAGATTACAGACTGAGTAATCTGAAAAGCACACAATTAAGCAACGTTGGCCATTGTTTTTACAGAAAAAAATGCACACGTTTTTACCAAAGGGTTTGAATGAAACTCATAAATTTATCATCAGATCAGAACTGGTTATATTTAGGAGTCAGCCAGTAACAAGTTCATTGACAAAATATTTTTGGAATTGTTTTGGATGAAGACAAACAGTGACTTAATACGAATAAAAGACAAAAATTAAGGATGATGATGAAAATCCAGTCAGAAGACGAGAAAGATGTGAGAAATGAACAAAACAACAAGGGAAGAGGCGGGACTAGAAGAGAAGAGCTCCCAGAAAAAATGCACATGAAAAAGCCCACGGCTGAGAAAATATATGTTAGTTGAGTATACCTATTTTTATTTTATTGACTAAAATAACGCTAAAACTAAAACAACTTGAATGACTACATCTTTGAATTTAAAATAATTTAGTCAAAATACAGACTAAAACCAAACGGAGACTTTTTAAAATTACCACTGAAGTCAAGTCTGTTTCAAGATGGCCGCCACAGCTGGTTAATAAACACAAACACCAAGATAAATCAGCCACTTAGCTATTCAGCTAACATTTGGTGAGCCAGTGGTTGAGAGTCCTTCCCAACACACACAGTGTCACCAAATCTTTGTTATTAACTGTTATACTCAAACCCATTTGACTGCTAGCAAGAGACGACTCATCTTCGTCACCACAAACGTAGCCACAATGGCCATGGAGGCTTACCTAGGTATCTTAAAAAGGGCTCTCATTGGGTGAAGGTCAGACAGAGGTGGGTCTCCATCTCCCAGTTCTATGGCTGTGATGCCGAGTGACCAGACGTCACAGCGAGCATCGTAGGTTGAATCCAGCTGCTGCTCACACGCAATGACCTGAAAAAAAAAATCACTGAGGTATAAAGACACAAGCTCTGCTTTCCATTTTATGCATTTCTAGATGATTTTATCAGCAAAAGTGATTCATGTGTTCTAACTCCCAGAGCCCAATAGCATACACTTGGTTTTGAATGTATTGAAAACCACATGCATGCTATTGGGCTCTAGGAATTGGTAAGGAAAAACCAGAAGTTGGACATTTATTTAGGGGGACAACAAATTGAACAAACAAAAGAGACCAAACTACTGGGCCTAACGTTAGATCCAACAATGTCACGGACTAGACGTATTGACAATATTGTAAAGAGAATGAGTATGAGCATTTCTGTAATTAGGCGCAATGCTCAATATATGCTGCTGGACACCAAAACACTTGTTGTACAGTCTCTGGTCTTGTGTCATCTGGATTACTGTTCGGTTGTTTGGTCCAGTGCTGCCAAGAAAGATCTTGACAAACTTCAAGCTCAGAACAGAGCTGCGAGGTTGGTTCAGTTGCCCCTTTAAAGCTAATGTCAACTGGATGCATTTCAAACTGTCACGGATGAAGGTAAATGACAGACTGGCCTGTAGCCTGGTCATGGACGTAATTTTCACTTTAGAAGTGAGGGGGACACGGGGGGGGGGGGGGGGGGGGGTATCTTTACAGTATGCTCTAATGGGAAACAGGCTTCAACACAAACAGTTGTTTTCCACTTGGTCCTAGAGCTCAACCAGTGTCAATTTAATATAGCGTAATGTTTTTGGATGGTAAAAAGTGCAGGGGTCAAAACTTGACTTTGGAAAAAGTGGGGGGGGGACATGTCCCCCACAAAAAATTACGTCCATGAGCTTGGTTGTGTCCTTACACAAAATCTGGGGTTTAAACAAACCTTTTTGCTTGTTTACAAAGCTTTTACCAACTTGTGAGTGGCATGGTTTCAACACAAGGAATGTCTCCCATGTTACCTTTACTCTTCCATTGCCAAGAACTAATGCACTTAAAAGAACAGTCATTTGCAGAGCTATCACATACTGGAACACCCTGCCACCTGAGTTAATAATAATAAATGTTCATGGTACGTTTAAAGTGAATCTGAACAAACTGGTGATACATAAGTTTATATCAGATAACAGATACAGCTATTTCATTTAGATTTAAAGAACTAACACCTTGTTGTTGTTATAAGAATAATGATAATAATGATAATTATTATTGTTGTTGTTGTTGTTATTGTTGTTATTTATTCATTTATCAATTTTTTGTATTTTTATTTTCTTAGTGAAATTTGATTCTAGTGGCTTTTTATGATGATTATATGTTTTTCTTGTGCTTTTCTTACACTGTATATGTTTATATGTTTGTTTGTTTTGTTTTTTTGTCTTTTTTTTTTAATCAAGAGGACCCCAGGAAAAATGGTTTTCACTATTGTGAAGACTAATGGGGATCCTTAAACAATAAACAATAAAGAGGAGCAAAATCAGAGGAGCTCATCTGAACAAAAACGTAAGAGTTAGCATGTAACAATACAACCGACACATATTTGCTGTGTGGAGGAGTTGCTAATGCTAACGGGTAGCTTCTACTAGTCGAGACATTTGCTGCTGTTTCCAGGACATTAGTGAGTCAAGATGGGTTAGTCCATGAATGTTAAGTGTGACGTAGATCTGTCAGGCTGACCAAATTGTAGCGTTTCACTGTCTATTTTCTATCAGAAGCTAATGCAGGAGATAGGTGTAGGAGACTATTTTCATGTTCAGCCTGCATGAAATACTCAGAGTGACCGATTGTAATCAGAAATAATCGTTAAAGCATGTTTTATTAGTGTTCCACATGCTTAACGTGGGAACGCCTGTAGAGGATTGTGAGGACAACATTTTAGATTGAAGATATAGGCTGTGTTTTAGCTCACATTCATTTTTATGGACCCCAGGGTTACTAACAAATTAAGTTTAACACACACACACACACACACACACACACACACACACACACACACACACACACACACACACACACACACACACACACACACACACACACACACACACACACACACACACACACACACTTAGAGTCAGTCTATCATGATTGTCCTGAGGGCGACATGGAACACAATCAAATATATGACTCATTTGAGTAGGAGGCATGTGTTCACACAAACATGACTCTAAAACACACACACACACACACACACACACACACACACACACACACACACACACACACACACACACACACACACACACACACACACACACACACACACACACACACACACACACACACACACACACACACACAAACACACAGCAGGAAAATATGTGACATCAGAAGTGTGTGTATTGTTCTCTAAAGGCATTAAGCCGAGTAGAAAAAACAACAACACACTCCTTACAGAATAGAAACACATACTATCGTGTTACTTCTTAAGATCTGTAAAAACAACAAAGACGTCAGCGAATCAGCCCACAAGGAGAAAATTTGCAAGAAAAAAAGAGTATAAATTATCTTAATGTGTAACCCCATGGAGACACACATACACACCTATCATGACATATTACACACATTTATTCTATAAAAGTAACAAAAATATGCTACTTACCAAAATAAAAAAACTAAAAGTTTTCACTGTCAAATCTTCAGAAAATGCATACAAAAGTACTCCCCGATATTGTGGTTACAGTATACAGGTATACATTTATAAAAAATGCTCAGAGGGAAAAAAAGTAGAATTTTTTATATTACAAACTATTATGGTCTGCATCGCACTCACAATGCCCACTGACCTTTTTGCTAAAGTGATGCGTTCTCTCTGAACCTTGTTGAATAGCTTAGCAAATTAGAGTGGAAAAGTAAAACTCCTATAAGTGACGTCACACCAAATTTGCACAGTATGCAAACAACATGAGAAGATATTTGTTTTGATTTGGTAAATTCAGCAGACCGCATCCAAGTAGAATCTAAGAGCTGTGGTACATAAAAGTGAATTTCACCAAACAGAATGCAAGTTTTTCCTCTGTTTAGGTTAAATTGAACTCTTAAATAGTCAGTATCTTACCTGCAGCAGAGAGCAAACAACATTGGAGAATAAAGCTAAAGGCTACTTCTAGAGTGATTTCAGACGTTTGAGTCATTGTGAGTTCTATGTCTGAAACTGTAGTTGTCTAGGTCCGTTGTTCCCAAACTGGGGTCCAGGACCCCTGTAACGGAATAAAATGACTGTTTTCCACCTAAAAGTTATTTCCCCCCTCTCCTCAGCAAGAACTAATCTGCATGAGATATTGTTCAAGGTCTCATGCATCTGCTTCTAAACTGCTTCCTTTCCAGCCCAAGAGAAGAATGAAGACAACGGACTCTTTCTATTTAATAAATCAAAGAACTCTATTTTAATAAGCTAATCAAACAAAGTGTTAGTCAATAATAAAATATGAACCAATTTGTGAAATGAAAATATTAATTACTTGATATTATAATCCTACAGAATATAATAAGTAATATAACTTTAAATGTTTCCACTAGAGACTGATTACACATAGCGTTAAGAGACGACACATTGCTTTTACTGATCCAATCACAATCTGCCAGTTCTGACGGAGGCGTGGTTTTGGTGGTGCTTGGTAAATCTGTCATCTTTTCATTCGACCATAAACCAAAACATCCGACTTATAAAACTATGCCCACGACATCTTTAATGCCAGTTCAAAGCGTTCTAGAGAAGTTGTCGGAGTGGCCAATCCGTAACTTTCCTCTTCAGCCGAAAGAACCAACGACAAGCTGGATAAAATCTCTTGTATTTTACCAACCAAGCAACAGTTCCTTTCAGAATAAAAGCTGAACTCATTGACCCTCCGGGTCCATCTGACGCTGTCAACCAACTGTCGCGTTTTACCTGGAGACAATCCAAAGACTAGTCTGTCGTACTGCTGACGCTGTTTCATTGGCTCCAGTACCGAAAGAGGGGTTCGAGGACCTGGCATTCTGGATCTGTACGGAGGTCTCATTCTAAAGGTATGTGTGGAGCGACAGAATGACGTCTCAATGTGTGTTTATGAATCTCCAAATCAAAGCTTAGAACGAAGACATCACCTTCACTCCCATCAGAACTAATCCGGATTTGCTGGTTCTGAACAACATCCCACACAACACCATTCTCCATCTCACTTCATCTTAGTTACACCATACATTTAGTGTTTAAAGTTAGTCCAGTTTTAATTTGTTAAGTAATAAATCTTTAAACTTTTAAAACTTGACTCTCTCTTCTGTTTTCTCTGAGTTAATACGAAATTGTTACATAATCCCTGCAATAAAAAGTTCCAATCGTCTGGTTAAAAGTACCCAAAGATCCATAAGACTGATTTCATATTTATTATGGAATCTCATGTCTTATGGTTCATTAAATAATATGTAAATTAACCCTTTACACCCATAAGGTAAATTTTTGGCATAATTTGTATTCTAAATACGTAACAGCGGTACCAGTATTCCGGTACTCCACAACACTGCAAATAACCAATCACAAACACTCACTCGCACCTAGGAACAATTTACAATCACCAAATAACCTAACGTGCATGTTTGTAGTCCGTTGAAAATCAGAGTACCCAGATAAACCCCATGCATGTATGATGAGAATATGTTAACTCGATGTAGCTTGGCCTCAGCTGGGATTCTAACCTGTGACTTCATGCTGCAAAACAACAATACTACCAACTGCACCTCCATGCAACCCCTGTAGGAGTTTAAAGCTCAGAAAATACATTTTCTGCACTTCAAATAGCCTTTGATGCATATGAGTTTACTGTAATTTCACTTCTTACTACTTACTTATTAATGTGTGTGTGTGTGTGTGTGTGTGTGTGTGCGTGTGCGTGCGTGCGTGCGTGCGTGTACTCTAGAAGCACTGAGCCAGGATCAGACAGGAGGAGAGTGATGGAGGTTGCCCATCTGGCTCCTCTACACCCGTTGTGTTTGACAGCATTATCTCTTTGATGATTATGAACTGAACTGCCCACTGGGACCTGCTCCAGGCTAATGTGGTGGAAAAAGAGGAGGATGAGAGAGTGTTTATGGGCCGGTTCGTTGGCGTACCTCGGGAGCCATCCAGAAGGGAGTTCCCACCGAGGTGTTCCTCCTCAGACGGGTGTTTGTCAGCTGGGCTGAAACACCTGCAGGGAGGGGAAACACATTTGACTGCATAACAATTGAGTGTATCTCACAACATCAAATTTGTGGTTTTTCTCGCTTACAGGTGGTGATCTGTGAAAAAGGAAACGGTGAACGGAAACAACACAACAGGATAATAAAACAAGCTCAGATGGATTTCAGAACTTTCTTGTTCTCCACTGATGGAACTGTCACTATAGTGGCAAGAAGAAAATAAATATAATAAACAAACAGACCGGAAAATCAGTCTGCTGGGATGTTTTCCCCTCAAAAATGATAGATTACTTTGAATTACAAATTATTTTGAGTCTCTTCATTGGACATTTCAAGAACAAAATTTGAATATAATTCAAATGTAAACAGGCTTTGGCAGCTGGAGACAAGTCATCCTTTTTATTTTAGATTTGATGAGAATGTGGGATGTATTGGTTTAGCAAAAAGAACAACAAAGAATCCGAGTGAAATCAATCCAGCAGAAACAAGACTGCAGAAGTTGGCATGAGTTTACTGAAAGCCCTGACATAGAACATGCTGACCCACAGTCGTGACTTTGGTCCAGTCCAGACAAATCAGCGTTAACGTCACACTCCCGGCTGGCGCCGCGCTAAGGTGGCCGGCCAGTTCGGATCTGCACCCAGAACAAAAGCCCGGGGGGAAAATGCAACCTCTGCCAAGCCAAAAGGTAATTCAGGCACAATGTGTTGCGTGGGAGCAGTTTTAGTTCTTCACGACATAATAACTCCCTTGGGTGGTTTTGAGATGCAATACTGGTTAAAAACATCTATTTAAAATGCTGACACATGATACACGAACTGCCAGCTACTGAAGTTTACTGCTGCTGCCCAGCAACACTAAAAACACACGAAAAGCTGGTTTGAGCAATATATTGTTCATGTTGTAACACATTCTCACTGAGACCCTAAGGAAAAGAAAACTAATTAGTATCTCATGCACATGAGATGTAATCTGGAGCACACAAGCTACTACAAAGCCCTTAGGAAGATGAGTGATAAAAAAATGTGTGTGAGAAAACAAGTACCTCTTTTTCCCTCCAACATCCCCTTAGTGATCCTAATACCTCCCCACCTAGTGGACACGTATGTTGTGTGATGTCTGAAGTCTGTTGCATTTCTGTCTGAGGTGTTTTTTGCATAGCAAAGCTGCCCTCTGAAGTCCCCCCCCCCCCCCTCCCCACCTGATCCAATCCTCATGTAACCCCTCTGATCTCTATTAAGGTAGCGCGACTCGGGTTGCTAATGACCACAGTCACCAATTCTTGTCATGTGTCTATATGTATGTGTATGTATGTCTGATCTCAGAATTGTGTGTACTGAAACTCTAATTTCTCTCTGGGATTAATAAAGTATCTTTGAATTGAATTTGAATTGAATTGAATTGAATATGTACACTTTTCACCACTTTGCTGATGATCGCATGATTTATTTCTTTACTTCAGCCAACAGTCACATCTATTCTGTTGTTCAGTATTTACATAAATGATCTCCCACTTTGCTGTCCACCAGACGCATATTGTCAAATGTATGCTGATGACGCAGTAATATACGTCCATGCCAAAAATAAAAACTTGGCAGCAAAAACATTGACATCTGTAATGAACAGGGTTACTGAATGGCTGGAAAGTTCCCAACTATTCCTGAATTCTGCCAAAACTGCATGTTTTTCTCCAAAAGAGTTCCTCATGAAGAAACAGATTCATCAGTAATACTACATGGAAACAAATTAGAAACGGTGCAAGCATATAAATACTTGGGAGTTGTTCTAGACTCACAACTTACCTTCAAGCAACAAGTAAAAAAGACAGTAAATAGAATGAAATTCAACATATCAAACTTTAAATACATTAGAGAAAACTTAACACTAGTCAGCAAAACTTTATTTTAATGCTATGATCGTTTCACACATGACTTATTGTATATCCAGTTGGACAAAGGCAAACAAAACCACATTAAAACCAATAACTACAGCATATAATCAAGAGCTAAAGGTTCTAGACAGAAAACCAAAACCACATCATCATCGCAGAATTCTTGAAAAATACCGAATACTGAGCTGGGAAAACATGATTAGATATACAGATTCAATACTTATGTTTAAAATATTACATGGATTGGCTCCGATTCCATTACAAGAGTACATTAAACAAAAAGTAAAGGGTAATATATCGACCAGGGCAAGTTCCAGGGGTGACTGTCTGATCCCCTTCAGAAGCACCACCTTTGGACATACGGTGTTTTCGTATCACGCCTCAAGAACATGGAATACAGTTCCAACAGTGATCCATGAACGTAATACTGTGAATTATTTTAGCAAAGAACTTAAATTGTGGATATTAGATACTCAAATCTGTTCATACATTCAAACATAAACAAAATACATAACAGTAAATTTAAGGACAAGGTAAAGAGTGTTTTTCCACGGAGGTAGGGACTATTATATTGTCTTGCTGCTAAATGGTGTATGATTATATTTTATATGTACATATAGAAATTTTTAACTTGTGCGGCTACTTTTTAAGTTTTAATACTAAATGGAAGCAGTTAATTTTACAAATTAGGGTGTATTATGAAATTTTTTTATCTTTTTATTTTTTTTTGGGGGGGGGGGGTTAATTTTAGGATCACAATATTGTTTTGTATTTGTTTTCCTGATTGTTTGTAGTCACACATGTGTAGCAGCTATCAACCTGCTGAGGGACTAAAGATGGAAATAAGCCTTGGCTATAATCTTGCATGTTTACATATGTATGATTATATATATGTCCATTAATATGTACTGTCCCTTTACAAATAAACGTAATCTAATCTAATCTAATTCAGACCTTGCTGTTCTGCGTCAGATACATGAATGGATGTAAACCGGCCCACCCCACTGCAAAAAACGATTTCTAAGGAAGATTAAAAACAACAACAACTCAATTTTAGATATTTCATCTTACTTTTAAGATTAGGAAAAAAAATCTTCTTTAGAAAAATTGCATTAATTAAAATAAGTTAAATATTCTTAAATATGATCCAAATTTTCTTGTTTTGAGTAAAAAATCTGCCAGTGGTGTTAGCAAACAGTGCTTGGCTAGAATTGCTTTTAGCACCCCCTAGTGTCAGTTTAGTAGAACCAAAAGTGAAATCCATCTCCTCACTGTGTGTTTGTGTTTTTAACACCTTCATCTGAAAGCTGAAATGTCTCCCCAGCCTTCATTAGTGTTCACATGAGCGAGTTATCTTTAATTGAAACAAATCAGCTTGTTTTCACTATCAAAAACCTGCAAGAAACGTGCTGGAAGCAGACTGCAGTGCCAGGTATGTCAGCTCCATTTGTTTCCCGAACCGGCACTCTGAAGTTGCAAGTGGAACATTCTGGCCACAGGGGGCGATAGGGGCTGGGTGGCCTTTCATTAACCATGCAGAGGGTCATTTTAGCGCATATTGGCTCAAGAATATCATTTAAAATATGAAAAAGTTGCAAAGTGCGTCTTTAAAACTAGCAAATGAATGAAAATTTTGATTTTTTTTGCTAGTTTTATGAATTCTAGCCAAGCAAATTTTGCTTAATCCACTGGCAGATTTAATTATTAAACAAAACAAGAACTTTTGGATCATTTGGGAGTATTTACCTTATTTTAAGTAATGCAATCTTATGGAATATTTTGGGGCTAAAAATAAGATAAAATATCTAAATTATTTTCTTGACATTCTTAGAAGTCAGTTTTTGCAGCATGAGGAAACAAAACTAATGCAATGTAGGACCCCTCAAACTGTTTATGATCTGCTAAAGATCTCTCCACCGTCTCTAAACCGACACATTTCAAAAGGCCTGAGGTTTTGCATCAACGTCATCCAGGATTAGTGAATATGAGCCCACAGCTTTACGTGCACACAAGAACCTTGAAACAAAATCCTCAAATGAATCACATGAATACTGAGGTTTAAATGTGTGGGGTGTATCAGAGGGTGAGTAACACAGTCTCTATTAAAGCACTGCTCTGTTTTCACTCCATCAGCCAGAAGTGGAGCCTGGTGGGCCACACTTAATAATCATCACAGAGATAACACCGTCAATTAGAATATTCATGAGAGACCCATGAACGAACAGCACTCCTCATTCTTCCGCTGCTCTTTTTGGTCCAGCTCTTTACTGTTTTTGTGTCTCCGCTGGTGATGAGTCACAGTGGGGGCTTTATCTCTTCAGCTGCTTAGTGTAGCATGCACCCCCTCCGCACGAAAAACCATTAATCCCAGCACGACACACAGCTCACGAGCAGTGCCGTGAAAGCTTGAGTCGGTCGCTTTTAATCGCAGTTTTCATCACTTTTCATGTTCCTGCACACGTCAGACGAATTTTGCAAAGAGCTTCTTCTTTTGTTTATTTTCTGACGTCAAAGACCTGATGTGAACTGTGGCCGTCAGCAAACCAGCACTTGCAAAGGAAGCCATTGTCACTGGAAACGCTCTGACCGCTGTGGCTCTTGCTATATTATAACTAATCGATGTACCGTAGCTGTTTCTCCAATAGAAAGAGGAAGCATTTTATTAACAGTGAAAAGCTCATAAACGTAGATTTTAGCACCTCTTTTATGGAGGATTTCCATGTTTAGGTTTGGTTCCAGATCTCAAGAACACAGGCAAGCGTTGGAGCATAAGTGTGCCAAAGGAATAAGATAAAGAAGCATGGTGGCTCAGTCACATGACAGCTTTGAATTTAAAAAGTAAAATAGAAAAGATTGAGAAGAATCTTACGGAGCCCCTCTGATGACATGGTCCAAAAAATAAATAAATTGCGGCCACGAAATACTATTTTGAGGCCACGAAATAGCTATAACGTGGCCACGAAATACGTATTCGTGCCCACGAAATACTTATTTGTGGCAGGATGAGGTAATCTGCTGACCCCGCCAGTCACCAGTAGGGGAGCTGTGGGTATAAAAAGCAGACTCGGGCAGTGTTTCCTTCCTTGTTTACGGAAGTAGCTGCACTACCCAAACAGAAGCTGTAGGTGATCAGCTCAGGTTTACGCAGAGCAGAAGGAGAGCAGTCTGGCCGCACAGGTTAAACGTTCCTACTTTAAGAAAATCGTTAAATTGCATTTTTTATGTGCTACTTGGGCTCTCTAAATATTTATTTAAAATGAAATCAAAGGAAATTGTAATGGTATCAAATGTTTCTGAATTACTATTTAAAAAATGAAAGTGATAGGGAAAAAGGTCGATCTATGACAGCTGCAGACGTGTTCCAGCGGAACCACGGCTCACGGGTGCACAAGTGAGCACATCTGGGCTGGGCAGCTATTTCGTGGCCACAAATAAGTATTTTATGGCCACGAAATAGCTGTAACGTGGCCTCAAAATAGTATTTCGTGGCCACAATTTATTTATTTTTTGGACCATGTCATCAGAGGGGCTCCGTAGAATCTTGAATTACATTACAGATTAGCAACGTTAAAACCTACCTACCTGGTTACTCCACATACGTATTTCATGAGCATTTTTTAACTCAGATGTACCGCTGAAGGACTTAGTTGTTCGTCCTTTTATCAAAACTTATTTAGAGCCTGAGAGGGTTCACAAATCTGACTGTTTGAGGTGTATTGGCACATGTTTAACCATAAATGAGAGATGTACAACCTTACTTCTTTGAGTTTTAGTCTAAAACCTTTAAAGTGATGCAGGTCTACATTAAGGTAGTGTTTTGGGTGTTTGCATTAATCCAAAAAGTTTGGTGATTTAGTCCCTTTTTCTGACAACAAATACTTCAAAATCAAACGTCGTGCAACAAGCAGTGAGAATTTATTTCAAGGTGGAAAAAAAAGGCAAAGAATGAGAAAAGGTGGACATGCTGCATATTAGTGATTCCATTAGCCACCCCCTTCATTTAAGAGCTGTGCACTCGGCGCTTGGCGGTTAAGAAACAGCTTTTAGGAGAACCCACAATTAGCAGACAAAATGCAGACCTATCCACAAGCTGAGTGGGGATTTTATTTGTAATGAAAACAGGCAGCTGTTTTTGTCGCAGTCTGAAGAAAACAGAGGTGAGTCATCTCCTGTAAACAGTCAGAACCACTTTGCCTATCGAGGAGCCTCCGTTCCAGGAGTCCTGGTTCACCGCTCAGAGTGCCTCGTTTGGTTAAGAAAACCAAAACGCAAATGAGCGAAAGCTCAGAAAGAATAGAAGCCGCAACCCTTTGCTGTCTGTAACAATGGCCAAGATGGAGTGTCATGAAAAGCATAATTATCTGTTACAATGTTGGGTGGTGTCATTTTGTTTCAGCCTCCCAATTGGCAGCAGGATTCATTTGGCAGGCAGCTCAAGGTAATGGATTTGACCCTCTTCTGTTAAACAGACCCATGACATGATTCTGGGGTTGAAAGCAGACGTGATGTATGCAAAAACGGGAAAAATTACGTACCAAAATCCACAAGTTTGACCCCTCCCTGTGTCGTCAACAGGATGTTATTCCCTTTGACGTCTCGGTGGATGGTCTTGTTGACGTGCAGGTGCTGGAGGCCCTGAAAAGAACAGGTTAACAGTGTTTTTGTTCTGTCAAGCACCTGCCTGCATAATTACCCCATTTAAACAGTTTTCAGAGAGACGGTTGATTCCACACTGAAACCAGCAAACTCACCATGAGAGCTTCATGCAAAATGTACCCAATTATGGCTTCATCCATTCTGTCTCCTCTCTTCAGCAAGCCTTTGGCCAGATCTGTGACAGAGCCGCCATTGCAGAGCTGAAACAGAGAGAAATTCACAAAGACGACAGGACGATGAGCACGAGTCAGCTCCAACAGCTCAGCCTATTTGCAGGTTTTTAATGCAGGAAACCAGCAAAGGATGAAATCAGGAGATTTCACAGTCAGATAATAGATGCTGAAAGTAATGTTGTCAGTCTTTAGAGGCTCAGAGAGAAAAATGTGCATTTTCTTTGCAAGATTTAATCTAAGCTTTTAAGACTAAAGAGGGTAAACACACAAAATGTTCCCAAAGCCTGAGTGTGAAATCTTAAGTTATTACAAGTCAATAATAGAACATTTTACCCAAGAATAAACAGAAACCAAGTCTTTTTTTTCTCTTTAGACAGAGAAACATCTATTTTTCTGTTTGTAGGTGTTTTCTTGTGCTCTACCACATCACAATATGGGCCCCACCGTCAACAGATATCTCTCTTGGAAAATGATAGAAAATTACCCTCTGGGTTGCCTTGGCAACAATAATAACCCCTAATTTCAGGCCGTCTTCAGGGGATGCCAGAGGTATTGGGAAAATAAAAAGCTGTAAAACGTTAGTCAGTGTGCTGAAGGCGCTGAAAAGTGTCGATCGTTTTTGTAAATGTGTTTAAAAACACTAATGTTCAAGAAGTCTGGCAGAAAGAAGCAGCAGCATCATTTTCTCTGTTTGGAAAGAAAAAAAATTCTGTTTCTACCAAGTTTTTACTCCTTAATGTCTGAAAAAGAGTTTGTGTGAGTTTTGTTGCTGTTGAATTATTTAAATGTAATGGGACCACTGATCCATCCATCCATCACTCCTTCATATACTCCTTCATGTATTCATTCATGTAGCCATCCATTCATGTAGCCATCCATCCATATACCCTTGTGTCCATAGATGGACACATGGGTATATGGATCCATCCATCCATCCATTCATCCATCCATCCACTCCTTCATGTATTCATTCATCCATCCATTCATCCATCCATCCACTCCTTCATGTATTCATTCATCGATCCATCCATCCATTCATGTAGCCATCCATCCATATACCCTTGTGTCCATAGATGGACACATGGGTATATGGATAAATGGATCCATCCATCCATCCATCCATCCATGTACTCCTTCATGCATTCATTCATCCATCCATCCATTCATGTAGCCATCCATCCATATACCCTTGTGTCCATAGATGGACACATGGGTATATGGATCCATCCATCCATCCATCCATCCATCCATCCACTCCTTCATGTATTCATTCATCCATCCATCCATCCATCCATGTAGCCATCCATCCATATACCCTTGTGTCCATAGATGGACACAAGGGTATATGGATATATGGATCCATCCATCCATCCATCCATCCATCCATCCATCCATATACTCCTTCATGTATTCATCCATTCATCCATCCATCCATTCATGTAGCCATCCATCCATATACCCATGTGTCCATAGATGGACACAAGGGTATATGGATATATGGATCCATCCATCCATCCATCCATATACTCCTTCATGTATTCATCCATTCATGCAGCCATCCATCCATATACCCATGTGTCCATAGATGGACCCATGGGTATATGGATGGATGGATCCATCCATCCATCCATATACTCCTTCATGTATTCATCCATTCATGCAGCCACCCATCCATATACCCATGTGTCAATAGATAGATGGATGGATGTATCCATCCATCCATCCATCCATCTCCATCCATCCATCCATCCATCCAGGGGCAGCAGTCCTGGTAGGGATTTACTAACCTCATTCTTTCTCCTTGTCCATGTAATTCACTGGAACCATGTGATCTTCTAAATGCTGTCCCTGTTAGCCTCTCCTGAACCAAACTAATCCTGGATGAGGTGCCAGAGACTCAGCAGGTCACATGGTGGACAGATCATCCAATTCCAAGACGGTTTTAAGGTTTGGGAGCCCAAGGTGTCACACTGAAGCAGGTGAGGTCAGCTTCCAACTGGTGGTCCAGTCTTAAATCATGAGGTTCAGATGGGCATAGGTCGAACTACGAGACCAATTTAATATGAGCATTCAACCACAGGAGACAGCATAAGGGTGTGGAGTGGTGGATTTTAAGACTGGGACCTTGTAAATCTGAACTTTGGCTGCTGAAACTTGCCTTTGGAACACTAATTTCCCTCTCTTGTTAAATGAAAAGCTAATTAGTCTATAATTATACTGTACTGAGGGGTTCCCTGCTGTGACTGCACAAAGATTGTGCAGCACTTACCATCAAATGTTATTAATGAATAGATTTCATATAGCGCAGTAACTTAAATTGATGTACGTTCTCAGAGTTGCACACAAAAGCAAAGTATGGGTCTCACAATTCAATATTTATCTACTTATAAAAAGGGATGTTTATCTCCCGTCTGAGACACTTTATATAAAAATCATGCAGCTGTAGAATCCCACAAGAAAACAAATACTGAACTGCATATCAGATGCATCCCACATCCACAGTCTTTTTACTTGTGAGCCAAGATTGTTAAAGGGTGACTCAGAGCTCTGAGTGCAGCAAACAAAGTGAAATTAACATCTTTATGTTGGAATAGTTTAAGTTTTTTACCTATAGGTAAGGTAAGGACATGTTATATGATCAGTTTTTGTTGTGGTGGTTAATTTTGTGTAAAGAATTTTTTCAAGAAATGTAGAAACAAGAAACATCCCTTTATAACCTCTAAAACAAAGTTTTGTCTGGGTGTAAATGAAAACAGATTTGACAGGAATGAAACAGTGATTTAATGTAAATGGGTCCAAAATTTTCTTTTTGGTTTAATTACTGCACTTAAATTGATAATTTCTGATTAAAACACCCAAAAAAAACTTTCTGAAGCACCCAAATGAATTAGTTCTTTAGAGAACCCCTTGATAAATGGTTATTTAAGGAATCCTAAAAGGTTCTGATTTCAAGGTTCCACAGAGAATCTAATGATGTTCTTTAAAGAACTTTTTTCGGTTCTCTGAAGCACCCATTTGAATTAGTTCTTCATAGAACCCTTTTGATAAATGGTTATTTGTGGAACCCTAAAAGGTTCTATGTGAGAGGTTCCACAGAGAACCAAATAAAAGTTCCTCAAAGAACCCATTTATAAATGGTTCTTTGAGGAACCAATAGGCAAAAGGTTTCTTGGAGAACCGAAGAAGGTTCCCCTATGGCATCACTGTGAAGAACCGTCTTTGGTTCTAACTGGAACCTTTATTTTTAACAGTGTAGCTGCAGTTTTGATGTGAACTGCACCAGTGCACAGAGATTTAATGTCACCTTTGAGATGTTGATAACAGTAGCTGTCTTTTACTGAAGCTGACCCTATATCTTTATTATTGGTCCCTTTATTACTTGAATTTCACTTGAAACATAAATGAATTCAATCTCAATACATTAGTTGTAGAAAATAAAGACGGGTTCTAGCCTTGGCTGAGCGCTGCCATGCTTCTAACTGCAGCTAATGTCTGTTTTCTATCCGTCCATCAGTCTACTCATCCATCAGCAGCCCAGAGGAGTTTTGCAGGATGGATGGGCTGCATCTCAGCTGCCACATGGGGAGCTTAATCACTTCTCCTCTCCTCGATCAGACGTGCAGACAAACTGCAGTCAAGCATGGAATGCCGCAGAGGTTTTTAGAGACAGCACAGCGCTCTAACGATGAGCCACGTCTGACGTCAAGTCCACATCGCTGCTGCCATATCACCTGTCGTCGGGGCAGACACACAGATGCATACTAACCAGAGTTCTGGTGTCCTGAATGTATTCAAACTAAAGGTTAGTGCTCTTAGTTTAAACACATCCTGGACATAACACTAGAAATGTGTTAAAAGGACTAAATTTACATTTAGACTCAAAGGAGCAGGACAATCGTAGGTGTATTAATGATTTAAATGAAGCATTAGGAGCTTTATAGAGTCAACACAATTTCTCTGCTCTGTTAGTTACAGAAAGTTTCTGGGAGGGGGAAAGCTACTGGGAGATACGCAGACTTGGTCCTCTCAGTCGTGGTGTCTCCATTCAAAATTGGCCCTTTCAGGATTTTGCTAGAACGATGATTTTGGCCACATATTGTATGTTTAACTGATATATTTTATCATAACAACAACCATTTGTACAGGAAAATCACAAAGATTCACAAGGCTGCCCACACTTTTGCATCTCAGCATATGCCAGCTCTAAGAGAGCTTTTAGCTCAAAGACCAAGATAAAAACACAGAATATTCATTTACAGCCCCCATTTCAGATCAGGTCAGGTGCTTGTTTATTCATGTAAATGAAAGCAGTCGATCAAAGACGAGTTAAGAAGTAGATAAAACAAATCTAAAGATGAAACAAACCCAAAACGCAGGGGCTTTAGCCATCTTTTGATCTATGATTCCTGGTAAATATACATTTATATTGATTTTTACTTTTTAATGCAACATTAGTGACCATGTGGAGGCTATGTGACTGAGGCCAGAGGAAAACACTCCCTTTGTTATTGTGACCTTATCATTTACACAGGTCGAGGTATCTGCTGTCTGGAAGCACGTTTAAAAAAAATCCCAACAAGGATTAAAGTTTTAAAGCTCGATGTTATTTAAAGTCTGCAGAAACAGGTGAGGCGAGATGTTTACAGGTGACTTTATACAGAAGAGAGGGAAAGTTAAATAAATAAATAAATAACCAACATTTTATGAAATCTTCTGAGTAAAGTAGAGTTTCACAAGATATTTTAATTTTTCGAGTTTCATCTGTGTATAGAGCTCCGGACGTCACATGACTCTCAGAGAGTAGACGCCATGTTGGCAGGCAACAAAGTTAAAGAAAATGAACGGGATCGGCTTGGATTTTACTCCGTCGGAGTTTACTTCACACTTTAAAACCGAAGAAATAATTTTATATAGTCAGAAATTAAATAGATGAAACATCTACGACCCTTACCGTGCCCCTGGGATACTTTTTAAAAACGCCAGAAGCTGTCGGAGCGGACCTGGCCAGGGAACGCCTTGGGATTTCCCCGGAGGAGCTGGCCCAAGTGGCTGGGGAGAGGGAAGTCCCTCTCGACTTAGGCTACTGCCCCCGCGGCCCGACTCCGGATAAGTGGATGAAAATGGATGGATGGATGAACAAATAACAGATTTATATGTAAGTAGTTTAAATAGAGTGCTGTGCTGTTTGAATGTATAAACTGAACTCCAAGAGAAATCACTAGTCTGATTTTTTTTCCGTGAATAAAATAAATATGTCAGGCAGGAGCGTCTCAGGATCTGTCTGAGATCTGTCTCGGTGAGACAGATAATAGCAATCCAAAGTGCTTTTTATGTGTGGTCTGACGATTGATCAACTATTGCTTAAAAATTAAATACAGCTTAGCCGGTTAATTGCTGTCATCATAAAACACGTCAACGGCAGCACGCAGAAATCACAAGGCAACGTTTTACGTGACGTTTACTTGCTGCTATGAGTAATAAGACAGAAAAAGCCACGCCAAAATAAGTTTAGGAAGCCCACTAAGAATCGTAATAAAAGCATTTAAAATAAATACCATACACAGTTGAGAAAACGTTGGTTTAAGTACCTGGTATGAAGCGGTCGCTGCATAAGTGAAAACCTTTACTCTCGGGATCCCACAGTTTCATTTTAGCCCGGTCACGTTTTATTACGATGATCCAACGTTTGCGGCGTTCCGGATCTTGGGGAATCCTGTAGATGGCTCATCCCTAATGTTGTCCACGTCTGTTCTGCATCCTGGGGCACAACAGGAATCTACCATATTTCCTGTTTGACTGAGTTTTCTGACAATAACAAATAGCCCAGCTGCGGGCTTCTGCCTGCCAAGATGGCGCCATTTCGATTTGAACTGTTGCATGCCGGGAGAAGTGACGTCAACACTCTATATGTGTAAATAAAGATGTAAATTAGTGTCTGCAGTCCCTTAAAACATGAACTCGGGGGGAAAATGTGCTTTCCATCCAAGTCTGGGGTATTTGCCTGCTAGTCAGACATAACAATAATGAATTGGATCCTAAATCAGGATGTTTTCCAGAATTTGAGATACCGGTAATTAACTTGTTAACTAAACATACCAGCAGGTTGCTAAAGGTAAAACAAGCTTTTGTGTGATCACAAATCTGCTGTAATAGTCAAATAATTTTAATATGGATTTCCAATGTGTGTGACATTTTTCTGTAAAATTTCCTCTAGAATTTATATTTTCGCCATTTATCAAAAAGGACAATGTTTGCTACATCAAAAGTTATCATGAAAACAATGTTTAACACACTTTGATGCATTTTAGCTCCTAGCTGATGGCTGCAGAGCAATGCAGGTCAGAATTCGTCTTTGCTTTAAAAACGCTGCTCCTCCTGTGCCCTTCATTAACAGTTTCCTTTGATGAAACACGAGCTACAGATGAAACACAAACCCAGATCAGTTTCCTTTTTTCAATTAGAGGACAAAAGTAGTTCCATCATTGCCGTCTTGGAAGTATTTTGAACCTCCTTCAAACATGAAAGACTGCTCATTTCTGCCCACATCTGCAATCATAAAGGGTCGCACTACAGAGGCAAAGCCGAAGCTCCCAGTGCTCAATAGAAGGCTAACAAAGAAGAGGATGCAATTTTGATGAATTCTGCTCATAATGAGCGGTCTGCAGTCAGTGCAAAGGCTCTGCTCAGCACTGCAAAAGGGTGGAAAATTGCACTTTCAAAAGGAGGGACAGTAACCATGGTGAATGACCACCTCGCTCCATGTTTTCCTGTCTTTTACCCCTCCATGTGCACCCGCTTGAGAGCACCAAAAGCACTCTTACTAAACTGTCAGGCAGTGATTTCAAACCCCAGGATTAGCATCCACATTCTGACTGCTGCCTGCAGATTTTTGCAAGGGAAATCTACGGCCACAGAGTAAACATATCACACAGCACATTTGCAGCTTTAACCAAAGCAAATAGGCCCTTACTGCCAATGTCAACCAACATAAAACCACATTTCAAAATAACAAGCTCCGTCCCCTCTACTGTGGAAGGTCAGGAGGAAAGATGGCAATGAAAAGGAAACACAAGATGGAGAGGTGAAAACCATCTTCTGGGTTTACATAACATTTCTGCTGTTAATGTAGAGCCTTCAGAGCTTGGATTACACAAATATGGAAACTCTGTCCCTGCAGTGGAACGATGAATAGCCCGATGTGAGGAAGCTGGACATTGCATAATTGTTGATTTCTAGGGATGCAACTAGACCTCCAAATATTAAAAAGTGATAGTTTCTTTCTTTGTGGTAATGTGGTGAGGTTGCCTTGTAGTGGGCTTTCCTATTCCAATAACCATATCTTTGTCTGGTGAAGTTAGCAATTAGAAGTCCATAACCTTTCTTAAACCCTTTTTGTAGAAGTATTTTGTTTTCCCAGTAAAAACACAAACCTTCAGTTTCAATGTTTAAAGTGGCAGTGTGTAGTTTCCTGGCAATAGGGGGCAGCGCATACATTTCAGCGTAGTTTTACATCATATTGCCGTGACTGTCTCTAGTTAAAAAAATATGAAGGTAAATGTTGTTACATATCGAGCAGAAAGCATGCAACATAAGTTCTGTTGAGTGCTGTTATCCATTAGCTGTTCCCAGATTAGTGTTTGTCATGAAGAGTCCATACGATCTTGAATTTATGGAAGTCTAAGGCTACAGAGTTTAGGAATGCTAAATCGCCATCAGCATCCCACTCCATCCCATTCCATCCCATACCATCCCATACCATACCATCCTATCCTATCTCACTCCATCACATAACATCCCACCCCATCCCATCCCATACCATCCTATCCTATCCCACCCCATCCCATCCCACTCCATCCCATTCCATACCATAACATACCATACCATACCATACCATTCCATCCAATCCCACTCCATCCCATTCCATCCCATACCATACCATCCTATCCTATCTCACTCCATCACATAACATCCCACCCCATCCCATCCCATACCATCCTATCCTATCCCACCCCATCCCATCCCACTCCATCCCATTCCATACCATACCATACCATACCATACCATACCATTCCATCCAATCCCACTCCATCCCATTCCATCCCATACCATACCATCCTATCCTATCTCACTCCATCACATAACATCCCACCCCATCCCATACCATACCATCCTATCCTATCCTATCCCACCCCACTCCATCCCACTCCATCCCATCCCATCCCATCCCATCCCATCCCATTCCATACCATTCCATCCAATACCATTCCATCCCATCCCATTCTATCATATACCATACCACTTTTAGCACGGCATTACGGCTGATCGAAGCACTGCACATTATAAAAGAAAACAGATAGAAACAGTCACTTAGGTCATAAAACAAAGTAAAGCCAAACAAACAAACAAGGTGGAACCAGAACATACTAATCCACAGATTTAAAATGGAACATCCAAAGTGGAAAAAAGGATGACAAAGTATGACTTAATGTTTTATGGTTTAGGAGTTAAAGGCCAAGGAGAAATAGTGTTTTTTTATGGTGTGATTTAAAAACAGCAATAAAGGGCGCTTGCCTAACCAAACTAAAATAATGGTGACGTTTGTTGATTTTATCATCAGTCTTTTGACTGATTGACTACAGTCATTGCTTAAATTATGAGCATCAGCCACAAAGCCCTCCAACCAAAGTGAAAATTATTTTCCCCAATGTTCTCCTTCATTACCTCTCTCTGGTGGCAGCATCTATTCCACTTATCATCAGCCTCTTTGGCATAATGATTGAAAGGCAGTTCTGCTAATTTATTTGTTTGTTTACCAAAACTTGAAGCCAACTCACCTCTAAAATATCTATTTTCCTTGACTTTAGTTAATATATTTAGATGCAATCTCAGATTAGAATCAAATGACATCTATTGTCCTTCTCAAATGAAGATAAATCCTCCTAATGAAATGAATACAAAGTCAAGTCATCAAACAAAAGCCATTAGACTCTTTCTGCATAACTTCTATACCAGATTCGTCCTGCGTTCTATAAAAGTACAAACAAAAATGACACGGTCAGACCATCAAACGGGAACAAAAGCTGATTTTTGACATTGTGCTGAAGCTCACAAACCATTTTTCTCCTCTGAGGTTGACCTCTATTACATGTTTTTCTGGAGTTTGACATTTCAAAAGGGTTGCAGCAGGCAATGACAGATGAAAGCTGAAGAAGCGGGTGCAGGAGGCCAGGCTTTTATATTCATGTGTGTGCAGAATGCAGAAAAATCAAGTTCTCCTTTAAGTCTCTTAAAAATAGTCAAACAGGAATGTTCCTGAGCACACGCGGCAGCTGTGGCATTTTCAACCTGAGTGTCAGCATTTTAAGTGTATAAAGTAATCTGATGAGCGAGAGAACCCTTCTCTGCTGCTCATTACAAACCCCCAACTTCATGATGCCAACTGGCGTGTGACCAAATCCCCCAGGTAGCCAGTAAATGAACACCGGGGATGACCGCGGCGGCGGCTAACACTCTTACATAACACCTAGCCAGACCTCTGATATCTGGAAGTACATGCTGGGAGTTGTAAAATGACTAAATGTCCTTTGCAAGCTTTATCTACAAAATACAACCACAACACACACTCTTACCTCCAGGACGAGCCACAGCTGATCCCCACATTTCACGTCCTTCTTGTAGTACATCCCATAAAACTTGACAACATTTGAGTGGTCAGAAAGAGCTTTGAGGATGTTGTATTCTGCTTCAATCTCTTCATCAATGTCCTAGAAGGCAAATTTGAAGTCAACGTTATGATTCTGTGGCTCATCAGGACGTTGTACCTCTTACACCTGCTGGTTGGGGTGACATGAAACACCTGAGGACCCGTCTCTGCTCATGCATTCAGGCTAAACACTTTCTCTGCTTTCCCCATGGGTTTGCTACCAAATTAATTTCACGTGAAGCTTTTTTTTTGCCACATAACATGTACACACATATCACTGTCCTAACTTTTAAATGGCCCATCTCACTCTGATTATGAGAATTGGGGGCTCGTCCAGGATGTTTATGACCCATTCTGTAAATAGATTTTCAGTAGCTCAGACTAGCCATTCAGCTAAAATAGAAAGGTTTTCTGTGGGGTGTACCCCCAAAATTTTACTTTTCAATAGTAGTATGCTTTAAAAAAGGAACTGTTTGCTAAATTTTGTTCTGTTGCATTCAAACATGGAAACAGCAACTCTTTTTCTCTTTGCTGCTTGCTTGTCTCTAACAACACATAAGTACTAAATACATTTTCACTTAGAAGGGCCTTAAGCTTCTCCTAATCTCCAAATTTTAAGGAGAGAAGCATCAATCTTTTAAATGTCAATTTAATCGGATCATCTTTTCTGAAACAATACAAGACATTCTGCTCCTTTATTCTTTGCAGCCACAACATTCAAAGTGATAGTAAATTATTTTCATACCACTACAGTTAACAACTGTTTCTTTATGTAAACGAATATGAGTACAGGAGGGTGAGTGCAAGCATTCTGCAACAATACTGTTTTTTTTCTTTGCAAATTACCAACTTTCATAATGCAGGAATACTTATGGCTAGCTTTATCCAGCTAAAATGATGAAATTAATAATTTGTTGAGAAAAAACACTGATTTCTTTTTTTTTTTAATCAAATTTTTTGCAGTATATGTTTTGAGCGTATATCTCAGTTGGTTATCACTCTTGAATTCCAACAAAAAGGTCATAAATGGGGATTAGATGTTCATCTGATACATTTTTGGCTTTTCTTTGGGCATGCCAGTTTGTTTATCGCCAAAAGCCAACACAGATTAAAGTTGGGTCTGTTTGCATCTTTTGTCAGCTTTTAATAAGTCAAAGAAGTAAGGAAACAGCAACAGGAGGTAAAATATGACGGTTTGATTTCTACTTAAAGACCCACCTCACAGGCTAATACATTTTGACAAAACTGGATTATAGCTTTAATAGTTTCCAATTGCTGCACCCAAGCTCTATGGTTAAAATGTTCAAATATGCCGATGACTATTGGATCTTTACGATGTGCTTACAAGCAAGAGTTTCGAAAAGTTGGAGGGAGATCTTACATTGGGACATTAAACACTAAAGGTGTCCTTAGGTAATATTAAGATATGAACTTATATATAAAAAAGTTTGCTCGTGGTATATTTGCTTGAAGTTTACAAAACGCTGCAAAATGTAATCATAAATTATATATGGGTTTTATATTGTCGTTATACCAATTTTGTAGTGTTATTAGCTACATTTGAACATTAAAACCAGCAATAGATTGACTCACAAGCTCATGTTGTTATTCTGTGGGATGGAAACCAATAGTTGGAAAACTATTGGCATTCAAAAACACTGGAAACTGAGTTGCACTTTCCTCAGCATGAACTTTCTAATGTAATTTACATGGATCGGATCCAGGATCTTCACAGCTGCTTTGCTTCCATCCTTTTTGTTGAGGACCTTGTAGACCTTCCCATACGTCCCTTTTCCAATGGTCTCAATAATTTCCCAGGTGTCGGTAGGATCTGGAAAGTTGTCGAAGACGATGGATTTTCCTGATTGTGGAAACATTTTCAGGAGAGATCTCCTGTACAATGAAGGGAAAATAATGAAGGGGAGTCACAGTTTGGAAGAAATGTTGAGTATGAGCTACCTGTTGGATGATGGGTGTTTGAATCCAGAATTTAGTACCCAATATCTAGAGTAAATAGATAGTATAATCACAATAGGTCTTTGTGAAATATACAACACATTTTCCAGTCTTACAAGTGTGTACTGTACCAATTTTAATCAAAGTTCAGTCATTTAGCCTAAAATGACACATGGCAACAAACTGGTTGTTTCATGGGGATAATGCCTGAAGACTTTGTGTGCAGTAGCTTTTCGTTTAACCAAGACGTAAAAACAAAAGATTCACTTCATTCACTTTTTCATGTCATCGCTTGGATTCTTGTCCCTCAAAAGAAAGTTTGTTTCTCCAGATCCAGAATAAAAAGCCACCATCAGCTGACGGGATATTTGCCCATCAAATCCAAAGTGACGTCACAGTTTAAATAAAAAGGAATAAAAATATCAGATGCAAATATAAACCTCAGAAAAACTGGTACGGCTAAAGACTCACAGCACGTGTTCGTCAAGGACATCAATTTCTCACCTCTTGTGTTTTACACTCAAGTTGCTAACGGATCCATTTCTGCTTCAGATGAAATTAAAACTTGATAAGTTGAATCACACTTACATTACTCTCCAAAAAAAACCATGGGACACGTTGGAAACACCATTAATCCATATCTGAGGGAAAGTTTAGTATTAGAGCAGAGGCAGACATGCCTGGCCTGTCCAAGAGCGTAAACTGCAGAGGTGGAGCTAACAGGAGCTAATCTCACTAGAAACCCCCCCTGCTCAAGGGCTACCATTGGAAACCATCTGTAAGTAGTAGGAGCTGCAGCAGGATTAGCAGGAATTAGCCTGTGTTGCAGCATGAGCCTTTCCCCATATAGATGCTCATTCATATGAAAAGGAAAGCTGTGTACACTCTGGAAGCACGCAGAGCAAAAATTAATTCCTCATTGTTATCACCGGTGTTTATCTTCTGTGCAGACCGGCTCTCTTGTTATTTTTTATCAAAACTAATTATCATCATGATAATTTGAATCATTTGTGCTGCTGCAGACATATTTTCTGCTCCCGGTGAGATAAAGCCATCAGATCCAGACAACAGTTAGAATGCTGCGCATGAATCTTTGTGCAGGTATTTGCAGATGGTGTACAGTAATCTGTAGACATCTTTCATAATACATCACTAGTCGTGCTTGCGTCAACACGCTGTGACATATGAGACAGGAAGACGAAACCCGAGGACTCACGCTGGACGCCTCCAACAGGAGCAAAGGCTGCAAGGAAATAATCCTCAAGAGAAGACGGCGTGTGTGTGTGTGTGTGTGTGTGTGTGTGTGTGTGTGTGTGTGTGTGTGTGTGTGTGTGTGTGTGTGTGTGTGTGTGTGCGTGTGTGTGTGTGTGTGTGTGTGTGTGTGTGTGCATATGCAGAGGGTTAGCTAACCTTGCGTGCCCTGGAGTGCTGGCTACATGTCACTTTTCATTAATTGTGTTGGGACATGGCCTTAACCACAGCCCGTGCACAAGTGCACGTACAATGAGCTGCACACCAGTGTTCTGAGCATGTATGAATTGTGATGATAACTAAAGAAACAGATCAGATTTGACTGGACTGACAGAAGCTAACCATTGCCGAAGCTAATCCCAAAGTGGATCACCGCTGTCCTGATACAACTCCAGTCTAACACATTTCACAGGGTTCACTTTTGCATTACACTAATATTTACATTCAGTCTTTGTTTTTTTTTTTTCTAAAAAGTGGCTTCAGCTACAAGCTAGCTAGCTGCAGCACTTCCAGTGCTTTAGGGTCCTTCTGTGAGAAGTCTAACAGAAATATTCTATTTAAAAATAATATCATTATGCAAAACTGATTGTTGTGAAAACCCTTTTAAAATAGGCAGCAACACAGAAAGTCTAAGCCCTGTGTGGACAAACCTTTAGCTTGATGATTTAGTCAGAATTCATGTCCATTCCTGCTAATTAATGTTATATTAGATAAAACTTGAAATGTTTCTAACTTTTTCAGAGAACCTTACTTGAAAAAAATTCTAAACCGTTTCTCAAGGTTGTTTGAAAATCATCCTTTTTTGTTTCATATTGAAAGCTAAGCAGACAGCCGCTAACTGTAGCATGTCCTGTCTAATGTGGAGAACTGTCCATCTATCCAGCCTACTCTTATCCGGCTTATTCGGGTCGTGGGGGGCAGCAACCTAAGCAGAGAGGCCCAGACTTCCCTATCCCCAGCCCTTTGGCCCAGCTCCTCCAGGGGAATCCTAAGGCGTTCCCTCGCCATCCAAGTGACATAGACCCTTCAGGATGTCCTGGGTCTACCTTTAGGTATCCCAGTTGGACCAATCGCCCGGTTGGACGTGCCCGAAAAAACTCATCTAGGAGGCATCCTGACCAGATGCCTGAGCCACCTCAACTAGCTCTTCTTACTGTGGAGGAGCAGCGGGTCTATTCCAAGCCCCTCCCGGATGACCGAGCTTCTCACCCAATCTCTAGAGTCCAGCCACCCTGCGGAGAAAACTCATTTCGACCGCTTGTATCCGTGATCTGGTACTTTTGGTCACTACCCAAAGCTCGTGACCATAGGTGAGGGTAAGAACGTAGATCGACAGGTCAATCGAGAGGTTCTTCTTCTGGTTTAGGTCTCTCTTCTCCATGACAGACTGGTACAACTTAACCAGAGAAGTCCTGAGATTAACATAATATATTTCTAAAATAATCATGTAGCTTCAAAATGGCAATGGTGTGGATTTATAAATTATTGCTAGCAAGCAAAAACTTTGGTGATTTCATTGTTTTAAGAAGACTTGGATCTTGGACCCGAGTCCTGCTCAGACTAGCTGTTAGCTTGTCAGTCTCGTCAGAAGAACTAGACATTTTTTCCTCGAAAATGAAGAACCGAAGAGCTATTTACAACAGATCTAACTCATTTAAAACACTTATTGCTCAACAGGGTCGTGGGGAGCTGTCTTCAATAGTCACCAGGTGAGAGGCGGAAAACGTCCGGGAAACAAACACACAATTAATAAATTTATCAGCGATAACACAAGCATGCAAAGGAAAACCACTAATTTTGTGCATCTACTTCAAAAATGCCAAAACACAATCCAGACTAATCTGCTTTGCCCATTAAAGTGGGTTGTGACGAGCAGAAAAATACCCAGAAAAGTTTATAAATTAAACTTAGCAATTAGAAAATGTCATTAGACTGTCATGGAAATGAAAAGCAATACAGATTTAATTTAAAATTATGAGCATGATATGAAAACAGGTTTATCTGCCCAATTCTGCTAAAAACAATAAACCAGCAAATGAACAAGATAAAAAGCTGCTTTTTGTAACAGAATGACTGTAGTGAGGCTGATATTTTCTAATATATCTGAACAGTTAGAGTTTTTACTGACCTTTGATGAATGTTGTAATAAAAAACAACTACACTGAAGGAAGTAGTAGGATAAGCAAACGGACGCTGCATACATGTAGTGCAGCAGAAGCGTGCTGAGCCACTCCCAAAGCTTGCAAATGAGGAATCCAAATGAATGTAAATACAGTAATCTAAAGTCAACCCCCTAAAAGAATCTTCTCATAAATGTTTTCATTTATTATCAGACTTAAAATGCAGTAATTAGCATCATACTTACTCTTGTCTAAGTGGTGCAACATGTTATCAGCTGGGGGTGAGGAGTGTTGTTCCTGTGTGACCCAGCACCGCCGTTATTTATCATGCATCAAAAATAAGGTGAGCGTAGACGCCAGTAGCTGGTTTAATTGGTTTTAACACGAGCACGTCCAGTAGGCAGCAGCAGACGACTCAGAAGGGGTCATAAATTAGCCTGGAGAAGATAAGCTAACAGCAGCAGCAAGGAGCGAGTCAGGTGCAGCGGGCCATGACTGCACAGGGGTGCTCTCAGCATCATTTAGCGGTGTCCCATTACACAGACAGCACTGGGGGAAGGAGCTGAAGAGAGGCCGAGCCACAGCTGAGATCAGGTCAGGGGGGCTGAGATATAACCCTTTCACACAACAGCAACGTCTCTAAGAAAAAATGTCTAAAATAAATCCCTTCCTGAATGAAAATGTTGGTCCAGATGTCCAAAAAGTTAAACCGTCTTGGGAAAATTGGACAAGATGACGACCGTAAGACCCGTAAGACCAAAATATATGAAGATTTTTGTTAATTTAAAAATATATATTAAAATAAATATGAATTCAATTACAATTATAAGCAAAAGATGATTAAAATAAAGAGACGGACATATTTATATTTCCACAATGTTCAAGAATAACTTTATAATGCACAAAAAGATTGTTTATTTGTTCACATTTACTGGCTAGTTTACTGAGGCTTGATAAAAAATATACACAATAAAAAAGATCTGAAATTTTAACTAACAAAAATAATGGTAGCCATGATTAAAAGGGATATTTTGTAAAAATACAGTGAACACAAAATTTTTGTCATCATAAAAGTTTTACAATGTAAAATTTACAAGCGGTTCTGTAATGTGATTCACATTTGTTTTCTTTTTACAAAACTATTACAAAAATTCAAAAAATTCAATGACAAATCAATTACAATTACAAAAAGTTTTTATTTTTACTAGTGTGTGCCCTAGCGGGAGCTGAAAGCAAGCTATAACTGCCTAGTTCCCCTTTTAAGTAACACAAGATCGTTTTTTTTTTTTTTTTTTTTTTTTTTACTTTAGAGCTTTAACATTTGATCTCAGGGATTGTTGAGTTAGAAACTTAACCAGTTTCATATTTGGCACCATTCTGCGGACCAAAAACTGCACTTGATAGTTTTGAGGAGTGGGTAGGTCCTAGGGGGCGTTCTTTACCTGCGTTACGGCTGTCAGCTTTAATGCTAGCACTTACTGTAGCAATTTCAGTTCACCAATCGTCAATAAAAAGAACAGGATAAAGAAAATGAAGAAGTTTGCTTTTTCTGTTGGCATCATGGTGGAACCTGGAATTAAAAGTAAGAGAGTAATGTCTTTGGAGGTGAAGAGCTAATGCCAGAGTGAACATCGGCGCAGCCTACGCTAGTTTGAGGGAGCTGAAAGGAGGCTACAAAATCACAGACTGATTGTGATCTAGCTTTGTTGCTTTTATTCGTCCAACAGTGTGGATCTTTTTACTTGGTGATTTATTTTAGTATTGGTTGGCTCGTGTTAGTGTTAGCTTGTTGTTAGCGCTAGCTACAGCAGGCTGTTGTTTATGACAGTTGTGTTTCCACTTTGAACCAGCAGGGTTAAGGAGCAGGAAACTTCTGATACTTTAAATTATTGAAATAATTACATAATTTAATTGTACCGGATGCAAACACTTTATTTCATTTATTCTTTTGGAAGTTGTGTTAAGTGATCGAGAAATTTGTTCCCAAATTCGGTTTTTAAAGAAGTAAATAAGCAGTAAGATTTTACTTTGTGACACAAAACATCAAAATACGACCTGCAAGGTTTTAGTGAATCAAACATTGCCTTTATTGTTTGTTTGTCCTTCATTATTGTTTACCTTTGATTTGACAGAACTTTTTATTGCTCTGCTTCTGTGAACATTTTCCACGCAGCTATAGTTTACTTAGCAAATTATTGATTCTGTTCAAAGTGTAAAACTCATTGCTGGAGCAGTGAAACTGACAATTTATCAGAGGAACTGATGGCACAGTGATGCCCATCCCCCAAACACTGAAACTAATCATAAAGCTAAATTATTTTAAATAGTTCCTGTAACTTCAGATCAGTTGTGTAATGTGTTAATAAAAAGACAAAACAAAACTAGAAATCGGAAACCTAATTAATATAATTTATTAAGAGAGATTATCATCCTCACGTCTGGACCGTGAGAAGATAGCTCATGGGTGCAGTTCCACCTAATCCCACCACGAAAATCTTTGTATATTTTTACCAGAATAAAAACGTAATGCAAAACAGATGGCTGTTTAATATTTATAAAGTTATGACATTCTAGGCTAGACATGTTTTAAGACTCATAAACCAGCCGGTAACTTTTATCAGCACTAAAGTATGTACATTTTTAAGGTTGGATAAAACAGTTTGGTCGTTTAAATCTAAGGTTCACTGAGTAATTTAAAAACCGTTCTTTTTGAAATGTGATCAGTTCCAAGGAGTTTCACGTGCATGCTGGAGGTGAATATTGTCTTCCAACCCAATTTCCTGCATTAGCCTAACCCTAAGACCAACCCAAACCCTCTCCACCAAAAGAAAATAAACGAGGAAATGCTCAGGTCAGAAAAAGCCAGACGATCTACGTCACGCTGTAAAAGTTGCATTAACTACCTCGGCGACTTTGACTTGTGACTGATGAAAGCGGTGCTGATTTAGCAGCCAGAATAAGGTGGTGTGTTATTTGTGTAGATAGCATATCAACATTGCATTGTTTTACCCAAGACAGAAGAGCGAACGGTGGCAGCAGCAGAGTAGTGTGGCTGTTAGCCAATCACAGACGAGACCTTTGCATATCATGAATATTAATGAGTAAAATCTTCCACCCTCACTCCTCTAACTTCCTGAAACATGGGCACCAGAGCTTTTTTTCCCAGGAAAACAACTCAAGTAGTTCACTGAAGAGGCCACGGCTGCTTTTATTAAATAAAGAGTGCATGACCTCCAGTGCTGCACTTCAACAGAGCTGTAGGGTTCAGCTCTGAGCTTCAAGGACCTGCATCTTGCATGTTTTCAGTGTTGCACCTGTTTAAGCACTGACCTTCTGCAGAACTCGATGAAACACTGAACAGGTGATTTAACCATTGAATCAGGCGTGCTGAAGCAGGGAAGACCTAAAACATCCTGGATAGGGGCCCTTGAGGACCAGGGTTGGACACCCTCGGTCTAAATTTAAAGGGTTGCTTGTGATCCATGCAGAAGATTATAAATTCCTTCATAAACATTTTAACGTGTTTCTACAGTAATAATTCTGAAACAATGACGTCTTAGTCCATTACCGTGGATGCTCCATTCCCATCCTCCACCATTCCCGTCTGTCTGGGAGGTACCCTATAATATTCAGCAACCAAGTGTGACTCCTCCAGGCTCATCCTGCAGGCCCCGACCACTGTGGTGCCCCAACCTCATTTCCTGCTCTGCTGCAAACAAATGGCTCATGAACGTTGGACTCGGACCAAAGATAGAGATGCACCGATGGTCGTCACAGCCGTATGATTAGAGCAGACAAAGGTCCAGATTTGTGGGGGAAACCTCCCCGCCCCCACTTGGCTGTGTATTCCACTCTCAGCCATGTCGTAGCCACCTTTAGCTGCAAGTAATAAACACGGTCAGCATGAATAACCCTATTGATCAACACGATAGCCTAACCATGAAAGTTTATTTTACTCCTGTTGAGTCTTAACTAAAGCCACGTATGATGCAGCCAGATGAATGACGAGTTACATAAGCAGCTTAATTTCCTGACAGGTAACCTACATACAGCTCTGCTGCAGTCGAAGCTCTCATTCTTCCCGATGGATGGTGCTCAGAGATGCTTCATCCTACGACACACATGAGATGGTAACCAGATAATCATACACCAGAAACACAGACACATTTCTAGAGGGAAGTGGGTTCATTCTGTGGTCATTTAGATTTTAGTTTCTACTGTTGTGGAGGAAATGAAGCTTTAGGTTTTACTGCTTCTGCCTTTATGAGACGAGTTTGATTTTCATAGCTAGGGTCGTTCAAAAGGAGTTCTGTTTCGTTCCCTCCTGACTGCCAGTGGCAGTAAACAGAGTGGATGTATCTCCTCGCGCTCTGCGCAGGTCGAGTACTAATGTAAACAAAGTCACGCACGTGACACGTAGCGCACCTGGTCGCGAGTCTATAAATTACGCGCCGATAGCTACGTTTGGGTCTCCCGTGATCTTCTCGCCCGAGAAGTTCAGAGTGACCCCTGTGACTGGCAGTCATCCAGGAACTCACAGAACCATAGTTACACCGTAACTTCTGTTACCCCAGACGCCAGTGCATAAAGGATGGGTGGAATAGAGAAAATGGCTTAAAAAGCTAATAGATGGGTGGTATAGAGGACAACTAGGTTAAAATAGCTGGCAAAATGCTAATCAATGGTAGACTAGAGGACTAATTGGGTGGAACTAAAGAAAAGGGGACTGCCGAATAAGTTGGACATTAAGATTTTGTAAAATATCCTAATGCTCTAAGTAATAGCCTGCTCCTCCTGAATGTTTTGAATAAAAATGGCAGAAATAGCCCCAAAAAACATTGCCGTAGTTTCATAAGTACAAGCCGTATGAAAAAGTGAAAAGCTCTGGGTTTAATGTCTATTTATAGAGTCAAATAAAGCAGTTTACTGCATTTCTTACCGGAAATTGAAGACGTTTATCCCAGATGTGTTTTCAGTCCAACTCTCCCGACAGATAAAATGTGAAACATGTTGGGATTCAGAACATCCTCAGTGTTGAGCAATTATGTTTTTGAAGATGAAGTGGCACTGGACTGACAAGCACGCTGCTCTGCTTTGTCCCTTCAGGCCCACTCACTGCACCCTGTGTCACGTTTATCGGTATCACATTTTTTGCTGGCTAGGGTGGAATTAATCAACTTTTGATCCACAAATGCAAAATGATTCACTGATTCATGATAAATGCTAATGAATCTTCTCATCAGTACCATATCGACACAGATTATCTCCATGGCTGCTAGGCTTTTAACCCTTTGACCTGCAGGTTGAGCACATTTCAGTGGTGTCATACATCATACATCTACGTGCTTTAGTTGTTTTCTCTCCTCCAGCACACCTTATCTGAATCGATGAAGATTTTGTAGAACCCACAGATGCTGAACGGATATGCAGCCATTGATTCGAGTGTGTTGGAGCAGAAAAACAAATAAAGCATGTAGGAGAGCAGCCCTGGAAGACTCACCTGCTTTAGATCTTGGGAGCATGTGCTGAAAAAACTGACATTTTAGAAAACACTAAAAAAATAAAGGGATGCGCATTTAAATCACTTCGCATTTTAACCTGTAAACAAATACTTATTAAAATGTTAAATTGAATCTCTTATGGTCTCAAGACATTGAGAATCTCAAAGGGTTCATGATTGTCACAACCTGTCCTGTCTCCCCATTCTGTTCGGTCCAGTGTCTCTCCTGATTGCTCCCACCTGCCTCTCGTCTCCCAATCACTATAGATCCCAACTCCTCGTGTATTTAAACCCTCCCAGTTCTGTGTCCCATGTCTGTCCATCGTTTCGATGTCCCGTGTGCCTTTCATTAAAACCTTTAAACTTTCCTGTCTGTATGCCTGCCTGCCTGCCTGCCTGCCTTCTTCTCCTGCACTTGGATCCTCACCTCTGCTCACCTCACCTGTGCGCCCATGACAATAGTTGTCAGCAGCTTAAAAATAGCACTGAGCAGTTTCCTGATCCACCGCCCTACTGGTTGAAAGTGGAATTACAAGTGTTGTAAATATCTGCTGCAGCCTGTTGTAGCCTAGTGCTAACAACGAGCTAACAACGAGCTAACACAAACATGGGCTCAATCAATCAATCAAAGCTTTATTTATAAAGCGCCTTCCGCGACCCTGCCGGGAACCCCAAGGCGCTAACTAATACTAAAATAAAGCACAAAGTTAAAAGACTAACACTAACATGAGCCAATTAGTACTGAAATAAACCATGAAGTGCCGGCCAAAAATATTATTGCTTACTAGTCCAGTGGCAACAAAGCCAGGTCACCATCAGTCCGTGATTTTGTAGCCTCCTTTAGCTCCCTCAAACCAGTGTAGACCACTTCGATATTCACTCTGGTTTTAGCTCTTTGCTTCACCCCAAAGGCGTTACTTTCTTCCTTTCACTTCCAGGCTCCGCCTTGATACCTACAGAAAAAGTAGACTTCTTTGTCTTCTCCTTGTTCTTTTTATTGAGGATCGGTGAACTGAAAATGCTAACCACTAGCATTATAGCATACAGCTGTTAAGCAAGGAAAGAGCGCCGCCTAGGACACCTTCCCGCTCCTCAAAGCTATCAAGTGTGGTTTTTGGTCAGTCAGTGTTGGGCCCGAACCTGTTCATTGAACAATCGTTCGTGAATTTATTTATTTTTTTTTTTGTGAACGGGAACTGAACTCGTTCGTATTTTGCCTGGCGAATGTAGTGCGTTCGTCCCGGCGTGCGTGAATGGGTTTATGAATGCGTTCTTTCGCCGTTCTAGCTCCAGATCTCCACAAAGCTTTTCCAGAGCTAAAGCCTAGCTAAAACATCCTGTTAACCAGAGTTTATAAAAAGTAGAACCCGCAAATGTGGTAGCGGTTGGTGCGGCGTCTACTCTTCTACGTCTATGCTGTGTGCAGGAGTCAAAGTTTATTCAGAAAAACTGAAAAGGGACTTAACTGAAAGATTATATATTTTTTAATGTTTTGCACTTTTAATATTGCACTTTGAGTTCGCTACTTCAGCCTGCTTGCTAAGATTGTTTAATAATTTCCCATTAAAATAATGTTTTCCTCAAGTTACTGAGAATACACTGTAGGTTAAGAACTGCAGCTGGGTATGAGTGTGGACTGAACGGGTGCCAACAAAATTATTTCATAAGTTATATATATACATATACATATATATACATATATATATATATATATACATATATATATGTATATATATATATATATACATATATATATATATATGTATATATATATATACATATATATATATATATATGTATATATATATATATATATATATATATATATATATATATATATATATATATGTGTGTGTGTGTGTGTGTGTGTGTGTGTGTGTGTGTTTGTTTGTTTGTTTTTGGAACAGTGAACTTAGTTCAAAATCTTTTTAAATTATGAATTAAGACACAAACTAGTTTGTTTTAAAATGTATGAACTGAACTTTGAACTAGTTAATTTTTTTAGACGAACTTTCCCAACACTGTGTAGAGTGGTGTCAAAAATAAACTGGTTTCTAACCCAACAATCACTGAGATCAATGTTAAAGCTCTAGTTTAAAGTTTTAAAAACTTTTTAAAACTCTGACGTTTCTTTTTCTAGCATGCAGAGCAGAAGCAGTGGAGCCCCCAAGAGGTGGCCGGGAGGGCCAAGTCAATCCCCTGAAACTTACCGGCCAGCCCACTGACCTCCCAGATTCTAAAATTAAAAAATAAACGTTGAAACAATAAATGAAAATGTATCTTTGTGGAAACGTTTGCATTTCTCAAATTTGAGGCAAATGTGTTTGATGTGCAGCTTTTTTATGAAAATGAATGAAGAGCAAATGCATTGCATCACCACCTGCCAGGGGTGCCATAAAGCGGTGAAAGATTAGGAAGATTCTATTAAGGGCCCACAGCTGTCAGGGGCCCAAAAAATTAAGTTTAAAAATCACAAGTACTTTACTTTGCAGTATTTTTTTCTCATTTAAGACATTAAACAAACAACCTTTTAGTCTTTATGAAATGTATATTTATTCAGAGGTCCCTACTTTATTTTGACTAATTAATTCACCATTTAATGAGAGACAGTTGGTGAAAATGATATGTAAATAAGTAAGAATGCATGTAGACCTACATAATGAAGCAAAACTGAAACATTAATATAAAGTATATATATTATATTTTTTTTCTCCCTTCGAATCTGGGAGGGTGGAACCCCAGCTCCAGCTATGGATGAGCCCCCAGGGGGCCCAACTTGATATTTTTTCATGGGGCCCAAAATCTCTGGCAGCCCCCCTGCCACTTGCTAAACTCTCAGAGGTACAAGGGCCAATTTGGTGTGCCAAATTTTTCTCTGGTGCTCCTAATAAAGGTTTCTGGGGGCACCACTGGTCTGAAGGACTCCCAGCTGTTTATTAAGGTAGATTGACCGATAAGGACATTGATTAGCACTCTTTATGCACCGTGTGCAAATCAATATCAACCTCATAAGGTTTGTTACAAGGTTAATTCCAGTTTTAATGACTTCAGTCAGGTTTCATGTCTCACTGCCCTCACACAGAGTCAATACGTGGGCACGCTCAAGAGCGATGGACTCAATCAGCTGGAATCAGAGATCACTTCAAGGAGATTTAAGGAAGCTCGCTCTGATTGTTGATGCCTCAGCAATCCAGATCAGCATCGGGAGGGCTGGATCTGAAATCCCGTCTGTGGAGACTGATTGAATAAGGCCATTGATGAGGCTTTTGTGTCCGAAAGTACGTGGTGTGAATCCCCAATGGGACTGTGGCTGCTATTGTGCCAAAGCGCTGGAGCATGACTTCCCCAGCTGTCTCACACAGGATATCATGAGCCAATGAAATGAGAATTGAGAATTTAGTTGATAAAAAGATCATTAGGCAATCATTGGCACAATTGTATACGTGCATTATGTTCCTCCTTAGTTCTGCCGACCCGATGACCTTCCTCACTGTTACATTGATGTGTTTGTCCTGGTAGGTTTCTGCTTTGCTGCAGGAGGAAAATAAAAGGAAAATGCAAACATGCCTTTAGGGGAGAAATCTGTTAAACAGTGATACAAAATAGTACCTCTCCCTGGGTTGCCACCTTACCATGGCGGAGGGGTTTGAGTGTCTCAATGATCCTAGGAGCTAAGTTGTCTGAGGCTTTCTGCCTCTGGTAGGGTCACCCATGGTAAACAGGTCCTAGGTGAGGGATCAGACAAAGAGCAGCCCGAAGACCTCTTATGATGAATTATATAAATGGAAACCGTGTTCCCTCGCCCGGATGTGGGTCACCGGGGTCCCCCTCTGGAGCCAGGCCTGGAGGTGGGACACGTTGGCGAGCACCTGGTGGCCGGGCTTTCACCCATGGAGCCCGGCCGGGCACAGCCCGAAGAGGAAACGTGGGTCTCCCTTCCCACAGGCTCACCACTTGTGGGAGGGGCCAAAGGGGTCGGGCGCAGTGTGTGATGGGTGGTAGTCGAGGGCGGGAACCTTGGCGGTCTGATCCTCGGCTACAAAAGCTGGCTCAAGGCACATGGAATGTCACCTCTCTGGTGGGGAAGGAGCCTGAGTTGGTGTGTGAGGTTGAGAGGTTCCAACTAGATATAGTCGGACTCACCTCAACGCATGGGTCTGGCTGACCTTAGGCCGCAGCTTGATGATCGACTTTGTTGTTGTTTCACCTGACCTGTGGCCGCATGTCTTAGACACTCGGGTGAAGAGAGGGGCGGAGCTGTCAACTGACCACTACCTGGTGGTGAGTTGGCTCAGATGGTGGGGGAGGATGCCGGTCAGACCAGGCAGGCCCAAACGTATCGCAAGGGTCTGCTGGGAACGTCTGGCAGAGTCTCCTGTCAGAAGCAGCTTCAATTGTAGTTAAAAGGGAGTTTTCCTCTCCACTGTGCTTGCTCAGTATGAGGATTGCTGGGGGGGGGGGGGGGGGGGAAGGGGGGGGAGCAGTGCGCTACCAACACTATAGTGGGGACGGTGTGCTGCTGACCTCTACTCAGGACATTGTCTACTGGTGGGCAGAATACTTCGAAGACCTCCTCAATCCCACCGACATGTCTTCCAGTGAGGAAGCAGAGTCTGGGGACTTTGAGTTGGCCTCTCAAATCTCTGGTGCTGAGGTCACTGAGGTGGTTAAAAAGCTCATCTGTGGCAAGGCTCCAGGGGTGGATGAGATCTGCCCAGAGTTCCTTAAGGCTCTGGATGTTGTGGGGCTGTGTGGGCTGACGAGGCTCTGCAATATCGCGTAGACATCGGGGGCAGTCCCACTGGACTGGCAGACCGGGGTGGTGGTCCCTTTATTTAAAAAGGGGGGCTGCAGGGTGTGTTCCAAC